CAACGATCATAACAGTCTTTTTTTGCCTATACATTTATTTTTCTCCCATTGGGTTTTTACAAAAGGTTTTTTTATTGACTTACATGAACGATCTTATTATCCATAACAAACTAAAGTTACAGTTTATGTATAAGCGATTAAGTACTTGAATACTCAACAAAACTTGAAACGAATATACTATGCAAACGCTAATGCAAACTTACTCAAGTTTATGCGATGGTCTCATCTGGTGGGGGGCAATGTTGTATACACAGCATTATTCATCCCTTCTTACACTAGTTATGCCTTAAAAGAGCAAGTATTAATATCATGTATAAATATATCTTTCAATCACAGTTTTATCCGCAGCTTCGATGGATGTCTTCTATCTTAGTTTAAACATGTTAAAGATCAGACCATCACATAATCACAAATTGACATCTGCATCAATACCAATGGTAGACGAGGTCTGTGCCCTGATCATGTACCCTGTTCTTGTGTACCTTAATCCACTCAACCGATTAGCTAGTGTATACACACTCAGTCCCAAATCAAGGATAATCAATTATCATACAAACAGTATAAATACAATACAAAATATAACCTTTAATAAAGCAGACTTCTTTTGGCCGTTTTGGTTCTAATCGACTTATTGATTTGACCATTTTATTAGTGATTATATCACACAGGTGGAGGTTTTGGTGTCTGGTGCTCGCTCTCCTTCCTTCTGGCCTGGTACGGGGGTCTTGCAAGGTCTATCCTGTCTCCGTACTTGTACTCTGTGTACATCAACTCGTTCCCTGCTGCTCTGCGCTCTGTCTCTCTGCCTCGCTCGCGTGTGTTTGGATCCATGCCTCAACGCAAGTATGATGGCCTCTGGATCAACTCACTGCTTATGCTGACGATGTGGTGTTGATTGGCACTGCTGAGACGATGCCTCGCCTGCTGAAGAAGGCCGAAGAATACTCTCTGTCGCTTGGGTTCAGGTGGAACCCTTCCAAGTGCGTTGTGGTAATCCACCCCCTCTGGTCGCGTTTCTCCCTTCGGTTGTATGGCGCTGCTCTTCCTGTTGCGAGTCTTTTGACTATTGGGCTTGCCCTTCAATAGCAAGCTCACTAGATGCTACCTGTTGGTCCAGCGTAATGCTCGCTCTGCCATGGTGGCTATGCGTTCTGGTCTACACCTTGGGTGTCCACTCCACTGGCTTTCCCGTTTGACCTCTGCTCGGCTTTATGCCACTTCATTCGGCCAAAGTTGGAGTATGGCCTTGCTATCTCTTCTCTCTTGGTCCGTGACCTCAAGGTGATTGAGCGTGCTCAAGATCAGTGTCTCCGACTTGCTTTTGGCGGTCATTCGAAGGCGTCTACAGTGGTGTTTAAGCATTTGACCACTTGCCTTCCATGAAGGAGCGTGTTGCCATCCTTGGCTTCAAGATGTTGGTGCGTATGCAACAGCTGCCACCTGATACTTCATTTGGCTATGCTACAGCATATCCTCTGCTCCTGCGGCTCCTCGCTTCCGGTGGCCCAAGTTGTTGAAGAACAACCTCATCTGGAAGCTGGTCTGCCACTCTTCTGTCTCTCCTTCTGTCCCTCGCTTTGCCTCTTTGCAGCATGGATTGCTACCTCTGGTGGTGATCCCAAGCCTGCCATCAGGCATTATCGTCGTGCCTACTTGGCTGGTCTTCTGGCTAGACCTGATGGTCTTGTTCTCTTGCGTGCTTGTCGTCCCTCTTTGGGCATTGACCCCATCCTCCTGCTCCCAATGACTGTGTGGGAGCGTAGTCGTCTACTTCGGTGGAAGATGGGTTGGCTCCCTGCTCGTCCTGTGCCTTGTCGTTGTGGTCATCCACACGCATCGCGTACTCACTTGCTCTCTTGCCTCTCTGTTGCCTCTCGTCTTGGTGTTGCTGCTGATGCTCAGCCAAATCCTCTGGACTTTGTGCTGAATCAGCTACCTCGGCTCGGCTCTCCACCATCTCCAAATGACCAACGTCATTCTGCTTCTCTCGTGCGCTGGTCCTCCTGGTGGCCAACCATCTGTGCTATCATGCTGGAGATGGACATGATCTGTCTACCTGACGCTGATTTCAGTCCCTGTTCTCAGGTCACTGATGGTCTTACCCTTCTGGAATGGTTGCTCCCTGTCTTTTACAAGTCAGTTGCTCCTCCTGTAACCTCCTCTCTCTACACCTATCTTGGTGTAGTTTGAGTCACTTTTTATTTTTTTCTTTTCCTTTTATATTCCTTCCTATTGGAGTTCCTTTCTCTTTTTTCAATCTTTATGATTGTTTTTTTTGTATTCTTTGTTCTAGTGATAGTAATTTATTACTATTACTGCTCTTATGACTAGACATTTGCCCTATAGGGATCAGTCTTACAAGTCATTTAATAAAAATAAAATCTTTTGCCTACACCAAGAAACCCTTTTTCTCCGGTTTTTATTATTTTTTTCAAATTCACTTGCTGTTTTTGAAAAAATCTCTGCAACTGTCCTATTAAACCGCGTTTTTCTTTTTTTATTCCAACTTTGCAAATTTCTACGCACATTTTGGTACCAAAAACGTCCCACTCCGACAACTCTAGCACATTCACTACCGCGATTCCCCTCATTTCGACATCGCAACAACATCATCTCGACATTAGATCGTCATCTACCAAGAACCAGTTACCAGACAAAGCTCAAACTTTGTCAGAACCTCTTTCTTCAATTACTAAAGCCACAGTTAAAATTTTAACCCGATCTGGTAAGCGGTTGCATAGTTCACTTTCGCCATCACTGATCCCTGCTGACATGACGCGTACCCTGTCGCGATCTCGAGTTGGTGACGTCAGCGCCCCTTCGAGATCAGCTCATCTCGATCTCGACAAAGACGTTGTCTTTGACTTTGGTGTTTCTGTTCCCCCTCTTGCTCTGGTGTTGACTCTTTACCAGAAGTAGGTAATGTTGCTTTGCTCTCTTCTGTCCCTTCGGTTTCTTCTCTCTCTCTCCTTCTCCTCCTGCTTGGTTTGCTGCTTTTCAGGCCAAGTTTGAGCGCCATGAGGAGCGTTTGGCTCAGCTGGAGTCCCTGGTCGCCGAGAACTCTGCTCTCAAGAAGGAGCTGGCTGCCGCCCGTTCCAGAATCTTGGAGCTTGAGTCCCAAGCTGGCTCATCTGCTGCCTCTCCCTTGGATGTGTCCATGGAGGATGATCAGGTTGCTGCTCCCTCTTCTTCTGTCTCGCCTTCTGCTGCTGGCTCCAAGTGGGCTCAAGTTGCCAAGAGGAACCCCACGCCTGCGGAGGCCTATGGTAAGTCCAAGCAGTCGGCTTCTTCTCCTGTTGCAAAGGCCAAACCTAAGGCCAAAATTACGCCTAAGCAACGTAAGGCCGCTGCCCGTATCTTTCTCGTCTCTTCTCCTGCTGCTGCTGGTACTTGTGTGGACAGACCTCTTTATGAGTATGTCTACTTGCCAAACAAGTATCGTGACCGTCTCTCCGCTTTCCGCCGCAAGCTGCGACTGATCGGGTTGGATAACAGCCGTGTACTTGATGTGCACTATCCGGCTCGTAATGTCGTAGCCTTGCTGATCCATTCGGCTTACAAGGAGGATCTCCTGAAGGTCATGGCCAAGTACTCGCTTCCGGTCTTGACTGACTTTGATCCTTTCTCTGGCACCAATGTCAAGGACCCTGCCTTTGCCTCTTTGGATGCTAATACTCTCTCTGCCAAAGCACGCGAGTTGCAGCAAGCTGTTGTATACACAGCATTATCCATCCCTTCTTACACTAGTTATGCCTTAAAAGAGCAAGTATTAATATCATGTATAAATATATCTTTCAATCACAGTTTTATCCGCAGCTTTGATGGATGTCTTCCATCTTAGTTTAAACATGTTAAAGATCAGACCATCACATAATCACAAATTGACATCTGCATCAATACCAATGGTAGACGAGGTCTGTGCCCTGATCATGTACCCAGTTCTTGTGTACCTTAATCCACTCAACCGATTAGCTAGTGTATACACACTCAGTCCCAAATTAAGGATAATCAATTATCATACAAACAGCATAAATACAATACAAAATATAGCCTTTAATAAAGCAGACTTCTTTTGGCCGTTTTGGTTCTAATCGACTTATTGATTTGACCATTTTATTAGTGATTATATCACAAAAAAAACAAAATCTTTTGCCTACACCAAGAAACAACGACATGTTTTTTAGTCTTAAATATAATATATATGGTAACTTTTTTGTAGAAAGTCACTTGATATACCGGAAACTTTTCGACTTGTATTGTGCATGTTCGACATTATGTTTGGTCCAAACTGCTCTTAGTCTACTTTATTCCAAGAAGATGATTTTGAATGTTGTAAAAAAAGGATAGCAGCAAAAGCAATCAACTTGGAATATATGCAAGTGTTGTTTTGTCACACACAAAATCTGCTTCTTACGGTATTATGTGCATTCTATGTAATTGAATATATCATTGCAAAATAGTATATCAGCATTCCTTTTTGTTGTGAACATATATGAATTCATATGCATAGATCAATAAATGATGATCATGGTAAAAGACCAGATCACATCTATGGCAATTGCAATGGATCTATAGTCACTGACATTCACTCATTCTACTAGAAGTACTACATCATCCTCATAGACAGAGATTATGAACCTATTGACTCTGTTATTATTAATGGCCCTTATAAAGTGACAGTTAGAGCTGACAAATACATTGGCATTGGCATTTGACAAATATGTAATAGTTTATTCAAGTTCAGGTCAGATCATGTACTATTGGCTGAGCTGACAACTTCCTCTAAAGGCATTTCTCTTAATTGCTCCTGATCTAACAAATTAATCCGTAGTCAAGAAGCTAACCCAAAACAATATTTTGACCGAGAAGAAAAAGTATAAAAACCTCGACATTTTATAGCAATTGAAAGATAACATTTTCTTGGAGAAATAAAAACCTATACAAGTTCTAACGGACTTTCTCTGTGTTCTTACCTTTTCTCTTATTGAATATCTACTCTCTCTTCATCTCACAACACTTTTCTAGCCAGCCTAAATACTCACTAGTGGCAATGTATTAGTAACGACAAACTGCTGAATCAGTTAATAGCTTATTTAAATTAATGAAAGTCTAACACCGATGAATGACTTGGCTGTGAACTTCGGCATGTCTTTAAAAAGGAATCATTTTTTTAACTCGAATTAAATATAATCAAGAAACACCTTCTTTATCTACGAGATCCAAACTGTAAACTCTATGCCTATAAATTCATGAGGCATTCTATGCGCAGTTGGTCTTCGGCTAATAATTTTTTTAATTATTCATATACAAAGATAATGTCGTTATTGACACCTTACCATTTTAAGAAGAATAGAAATTTTCTTGCATAAATATATCAAATTGCACATTCATCTATACTTTTTTTTGTGGTTTTAGGAGAACACAGATTTAAGATATAAGTATAGAATACAGTTTTTTTTTTTTTTTTTTTTTTTTTTTTGTGTATGTGTAATGTTTCTCGGTACAAGTAAAACAAGGTTTTCCGAGAACTTTTCCATAAATTGTACATCATCAAAGCCAACTTATTTCTTAATCAGACTAAAATCTCACGCAAAATAAGCAATTATGTTATGAGGTACATGCATACTGAATATAATCAAAAGCTAAAAAAAGATCCATTTACTTGGTTATAGAACAATCTCAATATTGCGATTTCGATGCAATTGCGACATTTTTTCCCTTCTCTGATATTTAAACTCTCCTCTCAATTTTTTTTTTTTACTCATTTCTTCCCTTTCTACAATTATCATGGGCCCTTATCGTATTGAAGATTTGCCTCAAGACCTTCAAGAAATCGCAGTAGCTGATTTTACCTTCCAAAACTGGGCTAAAACATTCAAATGTAAGCCTGAGTTATTGTTTGAACCTACTACAGAAGCTCAAGTTCAAAAAGTAAATTAATCATAGGATAAATGTCAAATCATTAACGCCTCCTTGTTTTTATGTATAGGTTATTTTGTTAGCAAAAAAGCTAAACAAGACACTCAAGGCCTTTGGTGCTGGTCACTCACCTTCCGATCTTGCTTGTTCTCCGGGATTCATGATCAACATTGACAAAATGAACAATTTGCTCAGCGTAAATTCAAAGGCTTGTCAAGTCACAGTGGAAGCTGGTATGAATTTACACAAATTACATAAAGTCTTGAGAGAAAACGGACTTGCGCTTAGTAACTTGGGTTCCATCTCTGATCAAACCATTGCTGGTGTCGTGGCCACTGCCACACACGGCACAGGTGCTCACTTTGGTTGTCTTTCAACAATGGTAAGTAAACACCTTCTTTTAAGATATCTCCTAATGTCTTTCCAGATCGTCGATTTGACTTTAATCACAGCCGATGGCGAAATTTTGTTTTGCTCACCAAATGAAAATCAAGATGTATTCCAAGCTGCTCGTTGTCATTTAGGTGCTTTGGGTATCATTACTCGTATGACTTTACAGGTAGAGCCTGATTTCAGGCTGGAGGCCATCCAAAAGCCATACAGGTTTTCTGATATTCTGAACGATTGGGATGCTGTCATACACTCTTCTGAACACACTCGTGTCTGGTGGTACCCTCATACTGATGACTGTGTTGTTTGGAGAGCCAATCGTACCGACAAGGAAATAATGCGTTCAGGCCCTAGTTTCCTTATGGAACGTGGTTTCGGTTTCCATGTCTATCAAGCTTTGTTAAATATCACTCGTTATAGTACTTCGCTGATTCCCTACCTTACCAAAATGATGTTTAACACCTTGCACTCTCAGTCCGTTCATGTTGTGGATAAATCCAACAAGGTCTTTAACTTTGACTGTCTCTTCCCTCAATATGTGAATGAATGGGCTATTGATTGGAAGGATGCTCCTGCTGCTCTTCGCAAATTAGACAAGTTCATCAACGATAATGATCTTAAAGTTCATTTCCCAGTAGAAATTCGTTTTGTGGATGAGGATGATGTTTGGTTGAGTCCTGCTTATGGTCGTAAGACATGCTATATTGGTGTCATCATGTACAGACCTTATGGTAAGCCAGTGCCATACAAGAAATACTGGAAGGGTTATGAGGATATTATGCGTGAATACAATGGCCGTCCTCATTGGGCTAAAGCTCACGGTCAAGGCAAAGAAGAACTGGAAGCTTCTTATCCCAGATTTAACGACTTCTTGAGAGTTCGTGAAAAGGTCGATCCTCAAGGTATCTTTTTGAATGATTATTTGAGACGCCATGTTACAATACCTAGACCGACAAAGGCAGAACCAACTGTTGTACAAGTCGCTAAGCTTTAGATTTTATATCCCTCTTTCTCTAATAAATGTGTATACTATTTTATTATTATTATTATTATTACCATTATCATTATCATTATTATTCAGGTCTTTGGTTAGGGAAACTACCCAAGACAACTACATCCAAGCAGAATTTTTCGAGATCCTTGAGTGCTTTCTTGATCTCATCATTTTCAAAGTGACCTGAACATTCAACAAAAAAGACATAATGCCAAGGACGTTGTCCACTTGGTCTTGAATCAATCTTGAACAAGTTCAATCCATATTCCTTAAAGACCTTTAGCCCATCACACAATGCGCCTGGTTGGCGGTGATCCACAGTGAAAGAAATCAATGTATGATCATCATTAGTAGGTGTATCGCTCGCTGATCCAACAATAAGGAAGCGTGTTGTATTTCCTATTGATACACCACTGTCAATTCATGATTTGCGCGCACACATACATATATGCCTGTGTATCCTTTACCTGCTACATCTTCAATATTAGCTTGCACAACTTCCAATCCATACAATTCTGCACAAATTTCGCTACAAATTGCAGCAGCACCTGTTTCTAAAGCAGCCTTTTCTGCAGCTTCTGCGGTGGATTTGACAGATATACGCTTTGCGTTAGGAATATGTGCAGACAGCCATTTTTGTGTTTGACCTAGTCCTTGTGGATGACTATACACTTTCGTGATCTTTTCTAATTTACTGTTGGAAAGTAAACACTGGTGTACTGTCAAATATGTCTCTGCACGCACTCTGACTGATGTATGAATGAAATAGTCCAATGACTCAACAACAGATCCAAAGGTTGAATTTTCAAAAGGTATGATACCATAAGTTGTTTGGCCCTTTTCAACAGCTTCAAAGACATCTACAGAGCAAGGTCATTAAACTCATTCCTGCTGCAATACATACTGGCAATTTGCTTTTGAGGTACATAAGCGACACTGTCACCTAATCTTTTATATGCCGCTTGATGGGAGAAGGTACCAGGAGGACCTAAGTATGCCATAGAAACATCTTTTTGTAGGGCAATGGATGCAGACATAATCTAGTCATAGCTTCCGTCAATACATGACTTTGTAACGATATGTGCTTACTTCTCTGAAAATAGCATGTAAGGAGTCGTCGTTCAAGGGACCAGCGTTTAGGCGCGTCAACTATATATATATATATATATATTTAAAAAAAACCCCCCACACTTCTATAGAAGAACATACTTTTTTGTATATCTCTTTTTCTCTTCCGGGTCTATATACGTCAGGCTCGTTATCCTCTTCGTCTTTTCTATCGAGCAAAACAAAAGTGGATCAGTTGGAATAAAAGATAAAGCAATACATACAGTTCTTTTCTTTTGGCTGCTCCAATATCAAGCGAAACGCGAGCACGCTCGTTAAGGATATTAACAAGGGTTGTATCAAGTGAGTCTATTTTTTGTCGAAGTGAAGGTAAGTCTGTCATTTTATTTAATTGAAAGAAGAAAAGAAGTCAACTTGGTGAACAAGATGTTAAAAATATATTTGAGATCCGGTGCATTCTCATCCAATTATACATTATGAATCACTCAAGGAACATTGTCTTTAGCTGTCAAATGGATTTTATTCTTGTTGTGTATCTAATGAAATTGTGCCTAATGCAGTATCAACTTCAAGTTTTTGGATTGATTTGCAAACAATGTGGAGTGTATACCTCGATTCAATAGAGGATGAAAATGTATATTCTTGCTTGTTTGTTAATACCAACTGCTTCTTTCTGAAATCAGAACAGTAATAGTAATATCTGTCTTGGTCATCAAGAGTAGTTGTTATCTTCACATTGACTTCTTTCTTTTCATCTTCAAACATCCTTTCACACAGATCCTCAAAACTTTTTGACTTTAATAAAGAAAGTGTATCTAAATCAGCTTCAGGTATATTCAATGTTTCTTGGGACAAGGAAAAGAACCCACAACCACGTATAAATAGATTCTTCAGTTTGGGAAAACATGCTTTTGTGGATAAGAGTGTAAAAAAATGATTTGGAACAGTGCTGTGATCAATAACAAACTTTTCTAATGAGTTACTGTGGAGCTCCATCATTGTCTTCTCGTCGTAAGCTTCAAAATCACCATGACTGATAATTAATTCTTTCAAAAGGGAGCATTTGCTTAATACAGCAGCGAGAGGATATTCAAATGTAGGAAGACTGAACGATGAAATACTGACAAATGCATAACCCAAGAGACCAAGGACATAATCGTTGTTTTGAGAGCTGCTTCTGAGCATAAGTGTGTTTAGATTGGATCCAATCATACCCATAAACGTATCGAACGTTTGAGAATGTAATGCGTCTTTTTCAATTTCAATTTTCATCCAAGGCATGCTTTTAACACCATGCTTGAGAATACTGAGTTCTTGTGGCTTGTTTTGTTTTAGGAAAGCAATCTCTAAACCTGGTTTCCCTTTTGAAGCATTAGAAAATACATCGAAATAATGCTTAGCTAGCATGATATCAAACTGGTGTCGCAAAGAGAAACAATAGCACTTTATGCTGCAAGTAAATCCAATCATGTCCTCAATTGCCGCAGTTAAGGCTACTTGTTCGCCAGACTCAATATGATGGACTACGCTTGCTTCAAATGTTATTTTTTGTAGATTGGGAAATTTCTTCATAATAAACTCTAATTCGTGCTTGGGGTAGCTTGATGTATAAGACTCCACCAGTAGATTTCTCATAGTAAGGATAGGCTTGCATTTCTCTGAGGATCCCAAATAGAGAGTAGGGGAAGTGGTATCCACTTCATTTTCATCATCTGGCCTTGATGTCCAGTGAATATCCAATTCTTCAAGTTTTGGAGTAGCATCAAACAGTTGTTCAAGATCAAACAGGTTATTTAAAAGAGACTCTTTAACAAACATTTTCAATTGTGTTAAGTTGTTAAAAAGCTTCAAGTACTTGGTCAAGTTGCGGTTGAACATATCTGGAAGATGAGAAAGCTCTATCCTTTTTAGCCGAGTGCTTCCAATCTGACAGAGGAAATTCGCATGATTTTTTTCATCTTGTTCAGTAATTACTCCTGCTTCAAATCGCTCCAAATATTTCCAACGATTGCTGTCTTCATTTAGAAATAAAGCCAGTTCATTGTAAAGCTCTGAAGTTAAAACAAAATAACAACGGACTTGTTTCACATAGGGGCATTTGATGATCAGTGTCTCCCAGAACTTCATGTCTGTATCTTTGCATGCGTCTTCAAAACTAAATGAAATCTTTTTGACTCGAGATCCCACATCAAAAGAAGCATCATTTAACAAATGCTGTATTCTTGTATATGGAGTCATGCCTGATCTACTTAATCCGTGTTCAAAGGGATCGTAGCTGACTTGCAAGTGTCGATAAAATACGCGCTGTGTAGTTTTGTACCAATGTTTATTAACAAGCTGGTACTCCAGAAAACTGCTTTTCTCGTCATTCATCATAGAAAATATCAGTTCTAGGATTTCCGTAGGCAATTGTTCCCATTTTGTTCTTCCATACATGTTGGTTGTGACAATGTAGACATGAATCTGAAGTGGGGCGCACTACAAAATGCATTGCAGTGATCACGTGACTTATTATTTTTCATGAAATCAAATGAACCAAAAATCGAGCATGTGTTTAAAAATGCATAAAGATGCAGTTATTTTGACCTAGAATGATATTAGAAGCTGTAGATACTTACTCTAAGAGGCTATTGATGTAGGAAAGTTAGTAAGTATACTAGTAGAATGTTGAATGAATTTGAATATTAGTTTTCGAGGTTTTTTGTTCGTAGCATACTATCCTCATAGTACAATTTACAAAAAAGCTACCATCAAATACACTAGTTTTTTATTGTTTATTCTGAGCAATTAAACATGCTTATAGCTCTACTTCTCTTTGTATAAAGTCCAGAAAAGCTTCAGAAATCGGGGATTGAAAACATCTTAAGTGATTGTCTTTCTACGAGAGCGATTTTTGACATTGACCCCAACTGGAAGGCCTTTTGTTCACTTCAAGTCACCCATCACTCTCGCAACATCTGGTTCCGCTTCTTACACAAAACCATCAATACTCGATTTTACATCCACCAAAAATGGCCACAACTCATCACACATCCCCAATGCATCCACTGTCCATATTTCCGTCGAAACACAATTGACACACTAGATCACTTCAACTTTCTGTGTCCAACAAAATACAAGGTCTGGTGCCATATCCTATCAACATTCGTCGATCCTTCCCTTACCACTTCTTCAGTTCAACTCTTGAGACAACTCCTCAACCTACGCACCACCATCAACCGCACCCACAAATCTGTGTTTCCAACTCTTTCAACCCAACAAATCTGTGCTAGCACATTAGAAGGTCTATGGACCAGCCATTGGCGCTCTACCTTTGATTCCACACCCTTCACCTTTCCTATTGTACTCGCCATAGTCAAGCGCCTGTTGACTAAGCAATCATATGAACAAGAGCTAACCAATTTTGATTGATCTCATTTTCCTTTCCCTTCCTTACCGCACAACATACTCCTTTAGTCTTATTTATCCCTCATTATGACATCTTTAGGACTTTAAATAAAAAAAGAGAGCGATTTTGGCCATGTCTTTTTATTCAGTCCAAATCAACTCTAAAGATACCATGAATGCTATTCAACATAGTTTGTAGCTATTTGGAGCATTTCTACATGTATAAACAGGCTCTATGATATCTTTATTTATCTAAGAAAAAAGAACAAGGCATGTCTTTTTTCACTGTTGAAGCATCTATTTGCCTGGTGTTTCTGTCTGAGCAATTAATGTATTATTAAACTGACTATCCAAATAAAATGGCTTGTTAAAAAGACGCCTGATCCCACCTAAATCAAAGAAGGAGAACATTTGCTTATCAAAAAAAAAAATACTAATGTGATTTTCACTCTGTGATGCATGGCATGTGAAAATGAAAGACAACTTCAATTCCTCCCGCCGCAATAAAAATGGAGCTTTTTTCCGTTCGTTATACTTATAATAGTGAGTTAGATGCTCAAGAAATAGTATTCCAAGGCATGGGTCAAATTTGGAAAGCCCATTGGAGTACTATCTTCAATGAGATTCCGTTTAATTCAATTCTACTTCTTTCATTCACTCGTGCTTCTCTCAATTCTCTGATTGACGAGAAATACTTGCACAAACGTTTATAATTAATTGTCTTATGTATTTTTCCTTTGTATCTCTTAAAATTGCGACCACCTCTTGACAGACTTTAGTCATAGTCTACGTGGAGCAAAAAATAAAACCCTTTAAAAAATGGAGCTTTTACTGGGAACTGCATAAAGACACGGTTATCTGGCTTTGGTATAGTGACAAAAGATGCAGATCTTTGCTTTCTGAATCTTTAAATACAAAAAACATGACAACTTTGCTACCAAGGTTCTGAGAAAACTGGCAAAAATGTTACTAAGGTTCTTTACTCATATCATAATATCTTTATGATACTATTGACAAGCAAACACATTAATCAAAAACAAAAGCTTTTAGCGCACATTTTGAGTATTTAAACTTGTTGATAGCTTTATTTTTCGTCTTGTAGCATCAGAAAGAAGATCAGAAGTTGTCAAACTCAAGATTTCCATGAATTATCGTCTTTTTCACTTTTGAAGCATTTGTTTAGATGGTACTAGTTGCATGAATGAATCATATAATACTAAATGGCTTCTCTGAGTAAAATGTTTTATTAAAGAAATGAATACTCCTAAACCAAAGAGTATGTTTGCTCATGAGTATATCAAACTATCGAAGAAACCCACTCCAATTTCGTGATACAGGATATATAACATGGCTCCCTTTTACTCGTCTCAGTTAAAAGGATTTCACTCTTTCATGACTTTGAATTTCTATATCCGAAAAAGGTTACTGTCCAAGAGCCAACTTTGGATAGTGATAATCATACTGCCTATTCTTTTTGTTTTCCTCATATTATAGATATGATCAAAAGCCAGATGTATTTCAAACAATTTGAAGCGGTAAAAAGAACTTTTTTTCTTATTTCTTTCTCTCGTTAGCTCAGGCCGTAGCGGCTGAAGATCGTCGCTTCAAAGTTTTTATCCCGTTTACGATTGATGGCCAAATATTTTTTAATGTGGCTATAATATCACTTAAAACTAATTTTTCAGGAGAAGAAATAAAAAAAGGGCGACACAAAGCTACGACAATTTAGTTTCTTTTCAAGAAAATAAAAGGAGATCGAGAGCAGGAAATGTCTTCTTGGACACAAGGGGGCAGTGCAAAGTAAGATGCATACTTGTATGTTACACTACTGTGTTATTACGAAATGTCTTTTGACAGAAAACGTATCTTGCAACTTTTCTTTCTTTTTTTTTTTTTGTTCCTTTAGTATCTTATATGGAAGACGGTAGATCATTATTTAATCCTTCGAATTTTATTTCTACACCACAACCAGATAGTGGAGAATTGGTGTCCAAAACACTATCTTTATTTTCCATCACAATCATGTCAATTTTATTTGGTGTAAAGACATATAATGTTCAGTTCAAATACTTGTCTTGTTCTCGATGGCTTGTTTTAGCTCTTTATGTTCTATCATGGGCATTCACCATGTCCGGCACTTTATTCGTATTTACAAATAATGGCAAGTTGTATGTGAAGATCAATCAAGATCACTAAAGTATGCGTAGGAAACTATACTTCATGCTTATTAGCTGAATTGACTTGTGACATTTTTTATTCAGGGACAAAAATCATGATTTATTCTTGGTATAATAAACTCCTATTTTGATGCACACTGTTGAAATTCGTTTAGGCTCATTGAAAAAGTATGGGTTGTCTCGGCAACAAGAGAAACAAGATGGAAGACAAAATCGTATCGATTTCATGCCTTTCTTATGACACCTTATGTAGCTATTTTCGCGTTGATGGTAAAAGAAGAAAAGCAACAGTACTGTACTTACAAGTATAAAGATTATTTTCCATATCGCAGAACTAGAAGCAGATGGGACATGCATTATTGGCTTGAGACCTGTTGCTAGTATTCCCTTATTAGTAAGTCGTCACAAATATCGCAGTTATTTGACTCATATCCGTTAGGTATACGATTTTGTAAGCCTATCTACAAATCAGCCTTAACAATCGACTGATATATGTCTAATAGGTCTTCAATCTTTACATGACAATCTTGTTTGTTATGCCTTTAATGCAGCTAGGAAAAAGTGTGAGAACAGACTGGAAAACGTCTCGTCTTCAGAATGTAGCTAGACGTACACTAATTGCTTCCATTGTGTCACTCTTAGTCTCTTTTGCTAATGTGTTAGCACTCGCTGTCCTCAATGGAAGAGAGCGAGGTGTTTTGTGCCTTACGTGCTGTACTGTAGATGTGACAATTAATGTAATCACTATTCATTGGGTAAATGTTACTAACATAGTATCTAAAATTAACTTGCTTGAATAGGTCACTTCAAATGGATCGTCCAAAATAACAAAGGAGATGCATTCTAGCGCTAGTAGTCCAAATGGAAATCGAACTGAGATAGAGTTAGAGAACACAGATCATCTTAAGACTTTTAGCCATTTTGCCACTTTTACTTATCCACAAACAGATCAATGCAAAGAGCACGAAATTGATTTGGAGAGTAGTATTCATGAATCACAAAGTAATAGCAGTAGAAAATCTTTAACTAAAAAAATATAGTATGTTTATCTTTCCAAGAGAAAAACATATTCTAAGGTGATGTCCTTGGCTTGAAAAACAAAGATCTCTTTTGACGCTTCTCCTCTTGTTTCTGTGAACTTCCATCTTTTCTTTTTCTTTCTTGTTGCTTGTCTTGATTAGAGAGTTTCAAAGCAAAATGATAGTCTGAATGTTCTTCAACTTGACTTAGTTGGATTCGTTGTTTGCATTCGTCACATACAAATGTATCTACATCGTCCATTTTTGGTTTCTTTTCAATACCAAAAGAAAACAATCCTTTTTTAATTGTGGAGCTTTTTTTAGTTGGTATGATTTCTGTAGTTGTTTTGCCATTGGCATGATGTGCGCTTGTCATGTTTGATTTAGTGAAGAAATGATTGATAGTTTGTGATGCAGCCGATTCGTCCTGCGTTAGGCCAAAAGCACACAAATCAAAGCCAATACAAGGATACGCATCTTTCAATGAGTTGAACAAGGCAGCTGCTTTCTTGGCCAGTATTTCTATGTGGTTTGTTAAACATCCTCATTCGCTTTTTTTTATCAACTTTACCATGTGTCTTTAACTCGTCCTTGTGAAATGCACTCATTGTTCTTGATTTGTAGTTTCTATTGTACTCTGAAGCATATCTAATCTAATGAAAACATGTTTAGGTATATCTTTTATATTTGGAGGCATTTTAATATTTACTGAAATATTTTTGGGCCAAGTACCATAGTCTTCATGATGGCGCATAATTCTATTATGTAACTCAATAGCTAAGATTGAAAACCATTTCTGCATCTCTTCTGCATTTACAATAGCAGGTCTAAAGGATTTGGATGCCATTAAAGATTTGGGTGCCTTGGATGGCGTTACTAAGAAAATGAGTACAGACCTTCAATGCAAATAATATACCTTCTTCAAAATCAATGCCTCGGCAGATATTATATACATGTAATCCTGTAGATGGACCAAATCTTGCCTGAAGATCCTGTGCACTGTATTTCCAGAGCTCATTCGCATTCAATACTTCTAAATCAGACCCTATTTCGCTGCCTAATTTCCCTCCTAAATTTCTAATTTTCTGAAAGGGTATATCGCGCATAAAATCCATTCTTGCAATATCTCTTAATACAGTCTAGATATAGTTAATATTCATATAAGAAAAAAAAAGATATATACCTGTTTGTTAGGCTTATGTCTACTTGAACACAATTTGGCCAATGTCTTGTTATGTGCAATACCCGCAGAACAAGTATATTGCAACTTATCATACACTTCTTTTCGAATTTCAGTGGCAAGTTCTGCTCCCAATGCAAGCTGAAGGTCTTTCCAAGTTGTTTCTGACCAATGTCGTTCATCACTTAATTCTAGACGCCTTTCTTCTTCTTTAGATTCAACCGTGATGCCCAATTGATCCCAATCTACTTCCACACCACATACATCATGATCCAACTTATCCATCAAATCAGGCCTACACTGAATGTACCTTTGAATTAAACGGCTATTGATTGTCTTTGTGACATCCATAAATCCCTCATCGGAACCGATTTTCTGGATGGTGTCACAGTGCTTATGAAAGATCTTGAAAATCTCTCGAGAAGCGTTCCGATAAGCATCTAAAGATACTTTATGTGTATTTCTATCTGGATTTGCATGGTATTTGGGCTCTGTATCATTAGGACCATAAGTAGCGACATGTAATAGTTGAATATCAGGACATAATTTCTTGGCTTCTGTTACATTGGTCATTCGCTTAATGCCTGATTTCCTTGCAGCATAATTGACTTTATTTATCAGCATTGACATAATCATGAACGCATGTTTTTTTTTATTACCTGCAATTAGACCATGCCATTGTTGTACTGCTGCTGGTACATCAGATGGGATACCTAACCGTACTTGTTCTATGGAACAAGTATTAATATATGAATATATCGCTTTCTATTATTTACCAACTTGACAATAGAAACAATCTAGAAACGAGATCGTTAACATACTTTGTTTTATCAGGAACAAGATCGCAATATACCCAAGTCAATATGTAAGATACACCGTGAGTCTCTTAAAGCTGTTGGTAATAAGTCCATATTAAACAGACAACTACGAAGCAATGAAACAAAAACAAAAAGTCTTTTTTTTATAGGTGCGTGTGTGACTTTGCAACGTTTGATTTTTATTTTGAAATATGAAAGAGGGGTAATACAGAAAAAAGGAGCTATTTAGCACTTGCATTCAGAGCCACAGTTGCAACCTATTTATATGTCAGTATATACAAACGTGTGTTTATAGAAAGACAATACCTTGGTTAGATCCTAATACAATAGTATAAAAAAACGCGTCAACTGAGTATGTATGACTTACCTTTGCAAGAGCAAGATTGGTTGTGTTGTTTGGCTTTGCAGTTTTGACAAGCACATTCGTTGCCACACTTGCATTCACCAGAGTTAGTGCAGCTAAAGCAAATATTGCCAAATAAACATACATCCTTAACACAATTATCTTTACTTACGAGCATGTATCTTCTTTTCTACAGGGACAGGCCATTTTAATAAGTATAAATTAAAAGAAAAATAAAAACGTATGGGAAAAAAAAGAGTCCTTTATATATGCGTCTATTGAAACAACCGTCAAACGAGTGCTTGTCGTGGTAAACTCCGTCAAATCGTTGTATTTGTTAATAACAACAAACAACGACATTTTTATACAACACACGTACATCTATAATAAGGCCTTTCTTTTACTTTGTCTTTTAAGAATTTCTCGAGTCATTTTTTAACGAAAAAGACCAAGATACAGCTTGCTTTCAACGTTGCACATGACTAGTTTTTCCTGCAAGGAATTGCGTCAATTATTTCGCAATCTTTTGTCATTCCGAGGGAAAATACAAAACAAGTTTTATTGAAGAGGATACATAGAACTGACTCGTTTTGATCGTTCAACATCTGCCACTGCACCACGATGAGGTGGTTGTACAGTCATAAAATCAATGCAATGTCGAGGAAAGACACCTTTTTGATTTCCTCTTGTTACGTTGATACCTTGGCACCAACCATCATCATATTCAACTAACAAATCAATTTGATCACCTGGTTCAATATCCAGTTCATCACTTAAAGTGGGTACAAAAGTAGCAACTACAACAAATTTACCAATAATAGGTATATTTGGTGTAGGCGAAGTGACAGTAGTTGGAGGAGTTGGAAAGGAAATATTCATTTTAGACTCATAAGCAGAGGAAGGAGGGAAATTGTTTTCTTGTTGCTTTGATGGGAGTGGATCATGGTTGCCGAATCCCATGGTGAATGGATCAGATTTGATGGCTTTATGAGCGAGTTGACGTGCTTTTTTCTTTTTTCTGGCTACAAGAAATGCAGCTGCGCCGAGAATAACGACAGCAATGGCAGCAATGATGCCGCCGATTAAACCACCCGAAGAAGAGGATGATGATGACGAAGTATTATTAGCTGCTGCTCCGACTGCTGATGTTGCTGTAGATGAAGGTAGAGCTTCTGTACTAGAATGAATAGAAGCAGAACTTGTAACTAAAGTAGTAGTAGGAGTAGCAGTAGTAGTAGCAATAGTAGTAAGGATAGCATTGGCGCTACTGCTCGCTACTACAGAGCTTTTATTAGTTCCTTTTGCACTGGATGCTTTATGTGTCGTTGCCTTATGTGTAGTTTCTTGTTTATTCGATGTAGAAGTTGCTTTTTTAGTCGCTGCTTCCTCTATTTAAAAAAAGAATGAATAAGTGTAAAGATAGCATTTAATTAAATTTACTCTCAGTTTTAGTGGCAGTGTGTGTGGTTGATTCAGCTCTTTTTTCAGGCATCCACAAAGCATTTACATTGGCCGCTAATGCAGCAATAAAGACTAGGTTTGAGATGGTCATCTTGAGATTCAGCAAAAAGTAAAGTGAGCAATAAAAGGACTGGAAAGTGGCTAAGGAAGGAGAGAAAGGGGGAGAATGAAAAGAAACAAAAGAGAGAGAGAGTGAGTGAGAAAGAACAATAAAAAAATACAATAACTTGATAAGCGAATGATGTTTGAGTACTGAAATTACAATACAAAAATAAGTCGGGCAAAGGATACACAATGTGTTACGCTTAAAGAAAACAGATCTTCAAGGACCATTTTGTTTTGTAAGCAACATTTTGTCAAAATAATAAGACATGGGAATTGTAATAGGCCAGTTAATCAATGGTAGAAGTCATTGTCAAAAAAAAACCTTAATCCTTTTCTTAATCGTAATCTCGAATCTCAAAATGGTAATAGGAGAAACACCAAAAGGAACTTGCATGGGTCAATTAACCGAAGGGTGTCTATTACAAATCATATTAAGGGTCTCTCTTTGAATTCAAGCACTAATTGAAATCAACCTCTGGATTTCAATTGATCCTATCATATTCTACACTCAAATCGAATGTGTAACACTTTTATTTCATGCAATTGGTAAACTTTATTTCCTGCTTAGTTACACGAAAGTGTATCCCCTAGCTTTAACCGTATTTATTTTGAAGTTTTTTATTAAGTACTTTTTTTTTGTATGTATAAATTATATGCGCATACACATATAGAAAAGCGAGTCTATTTACAAAAGGGATGAAGAGGGGAGGAGAGTTTACAAATAGTTATTATGAAAGGGAGGAAAGGGAAATCACAAATGTATAATACTTTTTAGAATAATGAACCAGAAACAGAGTTGAGCATGGGTGATGAGGTAGATGTAGGTGATGGAGGAGCAGAGAAGAGAGTAGAGCCAAAGGTAGCCAAGGTTTGGTTCAATGCAGCCATATGGGAATGTTCAATATGGTATTTTAAGCCATTCAAGTTCTTGTAACGCTTGCCACATTCACCGATGGTGCATTGATAGGGCTTAGAAAGACTGTTTTCATTTTCTTCATCAAGGAGATTACAATGACCATGTTGATTGTGGTATTTAAGGCCATTGGGATTCTTGTAGGCTTTGTCACAGCCAGATACAGGACACTTGTAAGGCTTATCAGCATTAGAGTCGAGTGGGAAAACTATGATTTGGGATTAATTATCGCATTCTCTAAATTATATAATATACTTACTTGAATTAGCAGTGGCTAACAAAGCGCCAGCTTGAGCAAGGAAATCTTCATCAGTCATAATAGGTGTAGGAAGATCACCGTTGAGTGAAGAAGCCATAGCCAATTTTTTAGCAGCGGATTGAGTCAAAAGATCCAAGGCAGAGGGAGAAGAACCACTGTATTGACTGTAAGATCTCTTTTTTCCGGACTTCTTTGTGCTGCTGGCAGCAGGTTCTTCATTAACTTCGTCCTCAATGCTAGAAGTAGCCGCAGCATTTGTGGCATTGTAGAGATCAGAAAGGTACGCAGCAGCTCTCTTCTTGATAACATCAATGTTTGAAAGGTCGTTTTCCTCTAAAATAGGGCTGCTAGGAGTAGAGTCACCATCGATAGAAGAGAAAGAGAGGGAAGGAGACCAGCTATCGGTATCATCATCAAACAAGCTACTTTCATCATCTTCCAAGCGAACATGACACTCTTCATAGTGTTGCAGCAAATCATGAAGGTCGTTCAAAATAAGACCACAACAAGCAAAGTCACGACAAAAGGAAGCTTCAAGATCTTTTGATTCGAAAGTGTCTTTAATGTCATTTTGTGGCACACAAAGTTGAAAGTCATATGTACTATAAAGAAAGCGCGTTAGAGAAAACCAGTATATTATGAACAATGAAACTTACTCAAAGCTAATGTCTTGCTTGGGCACAGTAATAGTGCTCATACGGCGAATGGAGTTGTATTCAACGGGAACAGGCATGGTTAATGTACGGAAAGAAAAGAAAAGAAAAAAAGAGGGTGAATATAATAATGAAAAAAAGAAAACAAAAGGAATTGATTGAGCCTTTTATATCAATAAGAAGGGTTACATGGAATAAAGTTCCGCTTTTTCTTGTACAACTCTTTTGGCGGTGTTTCAAGAAGAAAGTTTTTTTTTTCAACTAACGATGAAAGTATTTTTTTTTTTGTTAGTCCGTCTCGGCTGTTGTTGAATAATTAACTTTTTTATATACAATAGGTTTTACTTTTACGTATTGTATTGGCAACAAGGTCAAAATATGATCACATACAATACATAAAAAGATCAACCTAAGAGTTACGTACTATCTTCTTCACTTGGTATGGTCTGACCTCATGTGGGTTTCCTTTTTACTTTATTGCAAAGTTGAACATCCGACAAAAGTGTTTACTGTATCACTTTTATGGCTTTCGTGTCAACAAACTACTTTATATCATTCTCTTGTTCTCTCCGATTAGACATGGTGTATTTGTTTATTGACATCATAAAGTATCAGTATAAGTCTTGTTTCATTATCTTGCTTGTTAGCCATGCTTGCTAGTTACACAATCAAAAAACTGTTTTTTCTTTTTCAGAGAAAGGTAAATCGATTAGTTGGAGAGGCACAATGATATATCTATGCATATACAAAAGAGATATTATTTGATTTTGTGTAGTAAACCTGAGACATTTCAATGTCAACTTAAAAAAAAACTGTATTTTTCCATATTCACTCAACACGTATTCTGAAATTCAATATACACACATTTTCTTTCTTTTTCTTTTGTTTGCGATCTCGCGATGAGTGACTCCAAAGAAACGCTAAGGGACCGTTACTTACAACTTTTGCTTCATGTTACGAAGGAAGCACCAAAAGCTACGTTTTATATGCACGGAGGGACCACTGTTCAAGGCAATTTGCGTGGCACTGACAGCGAAAATAATCGATTTAGAGTGGATCAGTTAGAATCACCGCTTGGTCTTTACGAACACGCAGTCCTGCGCGGCACTGATATTGACATGATTGAATATTCCATTCAGAAATAAAGACCATACTCCCTTTGTCATCCAAATGTGAATACTTAAAAAGGCAACTGCTTGCGTTGCTTTATTGAGCACAAAAATATAGGTGACCCTTATTATTGTCAAATTGGTCGCCGAAAACTAAACACAAAAAGACTCCTTGTGTCTCATCTCGTTTACTTGTCTTTGCTTATATACATAGCTCTGATACATCTGAATATGACTAGGTTTCTACATATATCCTTATAACTTTCCCTCGGCCTTGGCCTTTCTCTATAGATTAGGCTCAAAAGAGCGTGTATTACCTGAGTAACATTCGCAACTTTAAACCTTTTTTTCAAGCGGCTAAATAAATCACATAAGGTTTATTATATATATATATAAAATGTGTTAGTAATTCATTTAACTGTGATAATTTACAGCAAGTAACTCAAGGCTTCTTTAAATAAGTATATGTTGAGCGTGCTGTATAACTTTAATTTTATAAAGCTGCATAGTGTTGTCTATGATTTGAGCTGCTTGACACCCTTGATATGTAGCATGAAATGATCGTGGTAAAATAAAAACTTGTAAGCCTTGGTTTACAATTTAGAACTGAGTCTCTTAGACAAGGAAGACACCCAATCAACAACTTCAACATTTGTTACACAGGAACCGTAGAAATCTGTAGTGGTAATCTAATTAGATTTATACACATAATCACATCGCCAAATGTAGAATAAGGCAAGCCCGGTTTGTACTCTATTTAACTCTTGTACATTGTAGCCATTTCAGTAAATGCCAGTGATCACATATGTGGAGCAAATGTAATAAATCCTGTATAACATTTCGAACTTTATTCTGAAAGCTTACAAGGGTATAATAACCAAAACTAACTGGCAAGTATAAGCACAGAAAATAATGAATGATCTCCTCTTCATTGAGCTAGTAAAAATCTAGATCTTGATTTGTTTGTTTGCTTGTGAATTTCCAATTGGTTGTTTGGGCTCACCAATAAACTATTTTTGAGGCTATCCTATTTACGATCGATCCAACACACACACAAACAGAATCCAGGAAGAACAATAGAAGGTACTTGTTTGCATAACAATTCCTTTATTGTTATTTAGTCCTTGCTTATTCGTTCGGTTTTAAACGTTTTTAGTCTTGCAGGTTTCTCAAAAAGAAGTTGACAAGCTAAGCACGGTGTAACGTGTCCCAGGCTAACATTGTTATTGACAGTTTGATCATGGGGGACAAACAACAACAAATAAACTTATGGGGAAAGGCTTCTTCCCTTCTCAACCTACAAGCATCTTCAGCCCAAAAACATGACAAAATGTATGAAACTAACAAAAAAAAGCTTGTGCAACTTGTACGTTAAACATAGGCCTAAAGTCTATTCTTAATTAAATAATTAAAGATCAGCTGCTGTGATTTTAACCGAAAAATAGCAAACAACAAATACATCAATGCAGTAACAAGCTTTTATTCTTCTTGGGTTTTTGAAACGACACCAATCAACAAATACAGAATAATATAAGGTTGCATGAAAAAAAGTAAACAAAAAAAAACGATGAGAACAATGATAAAGGGAAAAGGCTCGGAACTTATTGGATTAGGCTTTTTGGATTAGATCAATTGGCCAAGCCAAGTTCTTTTGAATTGAGTCACCTAAAACATGCACATTTTAAATAGATGAACGTGTTTTATGTATAACAAGACTTCTCAATTTCAAAGGAAGAGTACTTTGTACACTTATTTGACACATATGACGTTGAAAATTCACGGTGCTTGAGATAAATGCTTGTGAAAAAAAAAGCTGAGAAAGGAGATCGCTTACGCGAATAATGTCAACACGCTTCAAATGATACTGTATTACATTTAGAGAATAATGAATACGATCTAAAGAACATAATATTTGATTTTTTAATATACATTGCTCTAATTTAGTACTTAAATATGTTTACAAGAAGAGTATAGCAAGCTACAGTGCGCATCAACCCAAAAAGGGTGGCTGATATTACTTCAATTTCAATTTCAGGGCTTTTGTTAATCATGACTTGTCTTTATATTCATAATCATTCAAGACTTTATTCATTTATTAGTATTTTTTAAATCAACAGAGGCTAAACAGTTTCTTTATATATATATTGGAGCAATTGTTTCTTTTTAGATAAAAGATTTTCAGAATTAAAGTTTTTTTAGACCTTTGGAATGACATACTATGTCATAGACAGGACAATACATCATATAGAAAATCTTTGTTTCTAGATAAGTCAAAAATTAATATTTGATAGACTTCGCTGTTTATAGCATTGTTTTTCACAGTTGATTTCAACCTTTTATCAAGAATTATTCATACTAAAGAAATTCTATCGAGAATTCTAAATTAGTCATAGTGTGGACTATGGCTTTTACAAGTGCTTAACAAATATTGCATTGCAATGTTATGCAACATCTTTACTTTATCATTCTATTGATCATAACTTTAATAAGTAGTCTGAAAACGTATATTATATCTGACGTATAGAAGATCGCAGCTAACCAAAAAAGAAGACAGGTGCATAAAAACAACACTAATGTAGTAAAAAAAATCCAAAGACCAGTATAACTGTTTTCTGCCATTACAGAAATTGTTCTATGTCATTGTCGATCCTGAAAATCGCCCAGTCTGATTGACTCAAGGTCATGCACAAAAGGTAAATATTGATGCTTATTTCAATATGTATTGCTGATAGGAAAAACAGTACTTTATTGTATTGAAAAACATATAAAGCTCATTACACTATTAAAAAACAAAATTGCCAAGACAATTAAGCATAAAAGTCTGCACCCTCTCATTAAAGCTCTTGTTTCCTGCTTGCCTCGCGCATTTAAAGCCTTGAAAAAAACATTCATGGAGCAATCAAGGCATTGTTATAGATATTCATTTATTCTTAATCAACGCGCAATATAACTTATTTGACCGCAAGCAAAAAAGCTGCTGTGGGCGATAGGATATGTTTCAAGTGAATTAACAACCATAATAAACTTCTTGCCGAACACTGGATTGGCTGAAAACCTCAATGGCTTAAACGCAAAACAAACAGAGACAGCTAAACGAGTTAAAAAAAATACAAAGAAGCATAAACAGTAAAACTTTGGTTTATTTATAAGGTATGAATGGCTATGATTGATGAAAACCATCGTGTAAAATCAATATATTTATAACGTTTCTATAACAAATGCTTCATAAGGCCAATTAGCTCGATCAAGATTGGCTTTTGGCTTCAATTATACCATTTTCAAATCAAAGAGTTGAAGAAAAAAAGCGCCAAGCAAAATCTATTTTATCATGGTTATCTAGAATTTTCTTCCTGTCCTGAAACTCCTTTTTCTTTTGTCTCTTGCATTCTCTAATATCTTAAAAAAAACGCTTTTTTCTATTATGAACATATTATTATGGCAATCAGGACTTGATCTAAACGCAGGGTTACTCATATGTGGGTCATGCCTACCATTTTGCACGGAACGGCTGATTTTTAAAGATCAGCAATAATATCAGGACGCAATCCCATTGGGGAGAAATTCTTGACTGCTGTTTTTGAAGGAATGTAACTTGAATTCCGTGTAACTCTCATTATATCTAAGAGTAACTGGTGGCTTAGAATCTATGAATCATATCAAAAATTTTAATAGTGATTTCGAAGTACAGATGTCAAAACCGTTTAAAAGAAGCAAGCAAAACAAGGATAAAATAATGTTCAATCAAAGGGATGATGACTACATTGTTCCCATCTTCTGACTTTTGAAGAGTCAACGAATGATAATCAACGAAAAAGAGATGGATCTAAATAAGCATCGGACACTCAATATAAAAAAAAGATTTTTATTTTCGAAAAAAGTATAAAAAGGGGGCCAAAATACACTCAATGAACTTTTCAGCTTCTTTGGCTGACGATTCCCGTATTACACTTTTTTCTTCTATCAAATAAATTCTCTTTCTTTCTTTTTACTTTATTTATACATTTGCATCTTGTGTTCCTTGATCAAACGCACGTGCAATTAATTCAATCAAATCAAGTTCGTTGTCATTTCTGCATAGACCAGTTTAAGATTTTTTATACAAGAGTAATAAGAGACTAACTATGCATAAACATGTTACTAATCCTTTCAATCAGTCTTCCCTATCTCTAAATTAAAAGCTATATCCTTCTATAAAAAGCCTCGCTTCTCTTAACTGATAAACATATTCTTTAAAATGGCATCAAACATCCCAGTTCCTCCTGCTACTTCTGCTCCTATCATTAATTCTATTCTCGGTGCTCACATTACAGCTCCCGCTGCTAATGCTACACCTATCAGCCGTTCTCCTCGTTCTCCTTCTGCTCCTCATCGCCCTGCTGCTGCCTTGGAGGATCCCAAGGACGTCACTACTGCTGCACTTGTCTTGAAGGATGGAACTAGCTTCCAGGGTATTTCATTTGGTTCAGAAACAAAGAGTATTTCCGGTGAATGTGTCTTCCAAACTGGTAAGTTATTTTTTTATACGGAGATTGCGGAGTGTGTGTGTGGGGTGCGTGTTTTTGTATGGACGAACCTATTTGTGGGGTAAATTTGTTTTTGAATTTTCTGACAAATTCCCCAATTAGGTATGGTTGGTTACCCCGAGTCTCTGACCGATCCTTCTTACCGAGGCCAAATCTTGGTTGTTACTTTCCCTTTGGTTGGTAACTATGGTGTTCCTTCTCGTTCTGAAATGGACGAGTTGCTCAAGGATCTCCCCAAGAGATTTGAATCTAACCAGATTCATGTTGCTGGTTTGATTGTGGGCAGTTATTCTACTGACTACTCTCACTATCTTGCTGATTCATCTCTTTCTACTTGGTTGAAGGAAAACGACGTTCCTGCTTTGTACGGTATTGATACTCGTGCTATGACCAAGAAGATCAGAGAAGATGGTGTTACTTTGGCCAAGATTTTATTCCCTAAGAAGACTACTAGCGCCCTTGAAAATGCTGCTTCTGCTCTTGGTCTTTCTTCTGGTGCTGAAGTCCCTGAAACTGAACGTTGGAAGAAGAATTACGAAGACGTTGAATGGGTTGATCCCAATGATCGTAACTTGGTTGCTGAAGTTTCTATCAAGGAACCCAAGATCTACTATCCTGATCCCGCTAATGCCATCAAGACTCCCTCTGGCCGTACTATGCGTGTTATTGCTGTTGATATTGGTATGAAATACAACCAAATTCGTTGTTTCGTCTACCGTGGTGTTGAACTTAAGGTTGTTCCTTGGGATTATGACTTTAGTGCTGAACCTGTTGATGCCTTTGATGGTCTTTTCCTTTCCAACGGTCCTGGTGACCCAACTACCATTCAACTCACTATCAATAGAGTCCGCGAATACATCAACAACATCAAGAAACCCATCTTTGGTATCTGTTTGGGTCATCAAGTTATGGCTCTTGCTGCTGGTGCCAAAACCATGAAGATGAAGTATGGTAACCGTGGTCACAACATCCCTTGTACTAGTATGATCTCTGGTCGCTGTTACATCACTTCTCAAAACCATGGTTATGCTGTTGATGCCTCTACTCTTCCTGAAAACTTCCAAGAACTCTTTGTCAATGCTAACGACGGTTCCAACGAAGGTTTGATTCACAAGACTTTGCCCATCTTCTCTGTTCAATTCCACCCTGAATCTACTCCTGGCCCTCGTGATACTGAATTCTTGTTTGATGTCTTTATCAACAACATCAAGGAATGTCTTGAAAAGAACACCTTGGTTCCTGTTAGCTTGCCCGGTGGTACCAAGGCTGAAAATGTCAAGAAGAACCCTCGTGTTCATGTTGAAAAGGTTCTTGTCTTGGGTTCTGGTGGTTTGTCTATTGGTCAAGCTGGTGAATTTGATTACTCTGGTTCTCAAGCTATCAAGGCCTTGAAGGAAGAAGGTATCTACACCATCTTGATTAACCCCAACATTGCCACTATTCAAACATCCAAGGGTTTGGCTGATAAGGTTTACTTCTTGCCTGTCACTCCTGATTTTGTTCGCAAGGTTATTGAGTTTGAAAGACCTGATGGTATCTACTGTACTTTTGGTGGTCAAACTGCCTTAAGTGTTGGTATTGCTCTTAAGGATGAATTCGAAGGTCTTGGCGTCAAGGTACTTGGTACTCAAATCGACACTGTCATTACTACTGAAGATCGTGATTTGTTTGCTCAAGCCTTGTACGAAATCAACGAAAAGTGTGCTCCTTCTGCTTCTGCAGTCACTGTTGATGAGGCCATTGCCGCGGCTAAAGACATTGGCTACCCCGTCATTTGTCGTGCTGCTTATGCCCTTGGTGGTCTTGGTTCTGGTTTTGCCGATAATGAGAAGGAATTGGTCGAACTCTGTAACAAGGCTTTTGCTACTTCTCCTCAAGTCTTGATTGAAAAGTCCATGAAGGGTTGGAAGGAAATCGAATACGAAGTTGTTCGTGATTGTCAAGACAACTGTATCACTGTCTGTAACATGGAAAACTTTGATCCTCTTGGTATCCACACTGGTGATTCTATTGTCGTTGCTCCTTCTCAAACTCTTTCTGATGAAGACTACAACATGCTTCGTACCACTGCTGTTAATGTCATTCGTCACTTGGGTGTTGTTGGTGAATGTAACATTCAATATGCCTTGAACCCCTTCTCCAAGGAATACTGTATTATTGAAGTCAATGCTCGTCTTTCTCGTTCTTCTGCCCTTGCCTCTAAGGCTACTGGTTACCCTCTGGCCTTTGTTGCTGCCAAGCTTGGTTTGGGTATTCCTTTGAACGAAGTTTCCAACAGTGTTACCAAGGTCACTTGTGCCTGTTTCGAACCTTCTTTGGATTACTGTGTTGTCAAGATTCCTCGTTGGGATCTCAAGAAGTTCAACCGTGTCAGCACTGCTCTTTCTTCCTCTATGAAGTCTGTTGGTGAAGTTATGGCCATCGGTCGTACCTTTGAAGAAACTATGCAAAAGGCCATTCGTGCCATTGATTACAACCTTGTTGGTTTTGATGCTGTAAGTACTGATTTATGAGTTGTAATGCATATACTTATTTTATTTATAGTCTGACTTGATCAATGAAGAAGATATTGATTACGAACTTACTCATCCTTCTGATCAACGTTTGTTTGCTATTGCTAACGCTATGAAGAAGGGCTACACTGTTGACCGTATCTGGGAATTGACTAAGATTGACAAATGGTTCTTGAACAAGTTGATGCGTATTCACAACCTTGGTGAACGTCTTACTGGTTTCACCAAGGCTAATGTTCCTGGTAACTTGATTCGCTCTGCCAAGCAACTCGGTTTCTCTGATCGTCAAATTGCCAATAAGCTCAATAGTAACGAATTGGCTGTTCGTAAGCTCCGTCAAGAATTCGGTGTCACACCATTTGTCAAGCAAATCGATACTGTTGCTGCTGAATTCCCTGCTTTTACAAACTACTTGTACATGACCTACAATGCTATTGAACACGATATTAGCTTTGAAGACAATGGTGTTATGGTCTTGGGTTCTGGTGTCTACCGTATTGGTTCATCTGTTGAATTCGATTGGTGTGCTGTCCGCTCCATTCGTACTCTTCGTGAAAAGGGTATCAAGACCGTCATGGTTAACTACAACCCTGAGACTGTTTCTACCGATTATGATGAAGCTGATCGTCTCTATTTCGAAAACATCAACTTGGAAAGAGTTTTGGATATTTATGAAATTGAAAGGTCTTCTGGTGTTATGATGTCCATGGGTGGTCAAACACCTAACAACATTGCTTTGCCCTTATACCGTCAAAACGTCAAGGTGCTTGGTACTTCTCCTGAAATGATTGATAATGCTGAAAACCGTTACAAGTTCTCTCGTATGTGTGACAACATTGGCGTTGATCAACCTCTTTGGAAGGAATTGACTAGCTATGAAGAAGCTGAAGTCTTCTGTGCTAAGGTTGGCTACCCTGTCCTTGTTCGTCCTTCTTATGTCCTTTCTGGTGCTGCCATGAATGTTGTCTCTTCCAAGGACGATCTTGAATCTTACCTTAAAGAAGCTGCTGCTGTTTCTCGCGATTACCCTGTTGTTATTTCCAAATACATTGAAGACGCCAAGGAAATCGAAATGGATGCTGTTGCCTTGGACGGTAAATTGATCATGCACGTTGTCTCTGAACACGTCGAAAATGCAGGTGTTCATTCAGGTGATGCCACTTTGATCTTGCCTCCTCAAGACTTGGACCCCGAAACTGTTCGTAAGATTGAAGAAGCTACTGCCAAGATTGGTCGTGCCCTTAACATCACTGGTCCTTTCAACATTCAATTCATTGCCAAGAACAATGAAATCAAGGTTATCGAATGTAATGTTCGTGCTGCTCGTTCCTTCCCCTTCGTCTCCAAGGTCCTTGGTGTCGATTTGGTTGAAATGGCTACCACTGCTATGTTGGGTCTTCCTGTTGCACCTTATCCCAAGATCAGCATCCCTGAAGATTATGTTGGTATCAAGGTACCTCAATTCTCTTTCAGTCGTTTGTCTGGTGCCGATCCTGTCTTGGGTGTTGAAATGGCTTCTACTGGTGAAGTTGCTTGTTTCGGTAAAGATAAGTACCAAGCCTACATGAAGGCCTTGTTGGCTACTGGCTTCTCTCTTCCCAAGAAAAACATCTTGCTCTCTATTGGTTCTTACAAGGAGAAGATGGAAATGTTGCCTGCTGTTCGTAAATTGCATGAACTTGGCTACACCCTCTTTGCTACTACAGGTACTGCCGATTTCATTTCTGAACACAACATTCCTGTGAAGCATCTTGATCTTTTGGATGGCGAAGACAAACTTAAGGCTGAATACTCTCTTCAACAACACTTGTCCAACAACATGATTGACTTGTACATCAACTTGCCTTCCAGAAACCGTTTCCGTCGTCCTGCTTCCTACATGTCTAAGGGTTACCGTTCTCGTCGTATGGCTGTTGACTACTCCATTCCTCTCTTGACTAATGTCAAGTGCGCCAAGTTGTTTGTCGAGGCTCTTGCACGTAAGAAGGACTTTGAAATCCTCGGTGTTGATTTCAAGAGCAGCAGCTCCACTGCTACTCTTCCTGGTCTTTTCAACATCAATACTTTCTTGCCTTCTACTGACGATCTTGCTGAAGTTACCAAGGCTTCTCTCAAGTCTGGTTTGACCACTGTTTCTGCTGTCTGTGACGATATCAAGGATGCTTCTTCTCTTGAGACCATGAGCAGTGCAGCCAAGAAAAACTCTGCCGTTGACTACTTGTTGAGTATCACTGCTACTGCTGAAAACGCTGACAAGCTTGATGATGTCGCTTCTTCCGCTGCTGCTGTCTATATCAACACAGACAAGATTGGTGGTGGTAATGTCTCTGTCTTTGACTCTGTCTTTGATTCCTGGCCTAGCGATCAAATCATGATTACTGAAGCCAAGGGTACTGATCTTGCTTCCATCTTGTTGCTTGCTTCTATCCATAACCGTGTCATTCACGTCTCCAACGTAACCCACAAGGATGATTTGGCTTTGATTGAGATGACCAAGAGCAAGGGTTTGAAGGTGACCTGCGATGTTTCCATCTACTCTCTTTTCCTCAACACCACTCAAGTTGAATCCAAGTTGTTGCCCTCTACTGCTGACCAAGAAGGTTTGTGGAAGAAGTTGAAGGTCATTGACTGTTTCTCTCTCGGTTCTACTCCTTCTAAGCTCGATGGTACTCCTTCTGCTGGTATTGCTGAAGCCTTGCCTTTGCTTTTGACTGCCGTCTCTGAAGGCCGCTTGACTATTCAAGACATTATTGAGCGTATGAACGAGAACCCCAGACGCATCTTTGGTCTCATAAGCCAACCTGATACTTACATTGAAGTTGAATTGGATCGTAGCAAGGTCTGGAACACTGGTGTTCTTGCTGGCAAAAAGACTCAAGGTATTGTCAGCCGTGTTGTAATCAATGGCGTTACTGTCTTTATGGATGGTGTCATGAGAGTTAATGATATTTTGGGTCGTGATCTTTCTGTTCAAGCCAAGGCTGCTGAAGAAAGTATCTCCAAGAAGACCGATAGTGCTGCTTCTGCTGCTGCTGCTAACAGCGCCGCTGCTGCCAGCAACTTGACTGATGTACCTGAAACTGCTCCTGAAAGAAAGTCTATTCAACCTTTCGATCCGATCAAATTGGCTGGTGCTAGTGATCAACAACTTGTTCCTTTCACTTTACCTAGCTATGAAATCTCTGCTTCTCTTGCTCGTGTTGTCAGCCGATCTCCCTTCTACCGCAAGCATATCTTGCGTTCCAAACAATTTGATCGTAGTGATCTCCACTTGTTGTTTGGCGTCGCTCATGAAATGCGTAACTTGGTTGAGCTCTATGGCTCTATCAATTTGTTGCAAGGTCGTGTCATGAGTACCATGTTCTTTGAACCTTCTACTCGTACTTCCAGTTCTTTCGAGGCTGCCATGTACCGTTTGGGTGGTAAGGTTGTCTCTGTTACTGCCTCTACCTCTTCTGTTCAAAAGGGTGAATCTCTTGCTGATACTGTCCGTACTCTCGGCTGTTACTCTGATGTGATTATCCTTCGTCACCCTCAACCTGGATCTGCTCAAATTGCTGCCAAGTACTCCAAGGTTCCTATTATTAACGCTGGTGATGGTATTGGTGAACACCCTACTCAAGCCTTCTTGGATGTCTTTACTATTCGTGAAGAACTCGGTACTGTCAATGGTTTGACTATCACACTCGTAGGTGATTTGAAGAATGGTCGTACTGTCCACTCTTTAGTCAAGATCTTGGCCTACTACCAAGTCACTATCAACTATGTCTGCCCTGACTCTTTGTCTATGCCTAAGGATGTGATGGAAGAAGTAGCTGCTGCTGGTATCAAGCAAAACGTCTATGCTTCTCTTGATGAAGTCATTGGTTCTACTGATGTCTTGTACATGACCCGTGTTCAAAAGGAACGTTTCAGTACTGAAGAAGAATATCTCCGTGTCAAGGATGCCTTTATCTTGAACAATGATGTCTTGAGTAAGGCCAAGTCTCAAATGATTGTGTTGCATCCTTTGCCTCGTGTGAATGAAATCGAACCTGAAGTTGACTTTGACCAAAGAGCTGCTTACTTTAGACAAATGCGTTATGGTCTTTATGTCAGAATGGCCTTGTTGGCTCTTGTCATGGGTACTCTTCGCGGTTAAATCACTTATATATATATATACATAGTTTACACACCTATACATACTTATGCGTCGTTTTTTTTTTATCTTAATAAATTGTTTAAAAAGCGGAAACTTTAAACTTGTTAAGATGTTAGTAATCACTTTTTAACATGGAATAAGTACTTTCCGCTAAATGCATCGTTTCTTGTGTAGAAGGATACTGTCTTGTTGATGAAATTAGCGTTGGATTGACTGATATTAGTTTTGAAACAGGAGAGAGTATCTTGAAAAAAAAGTAGTTGTAAAATCCCAGAGAAAGAGTGCGATTGCCATTGCTGATAGCTTGTCTCTTGAGTTTGCAATCAGCGCTTCTTGATAATTGGATTGAGCACCAACCACTTTGACCTTGATAGCATCAAATATCTCAGCAATACGTTTCTGGAAACTAGAGACACATTCACCAATTTGAGCACAATACAGACCTGGTTCATTATCTAATCCACCAACTTGTACAATGGCTTCAGCACTTTGTTAGGTAAGAGGGGTTTTTCCAGTCTTGTTTAGCCATCTTCATTTGCAAGCCAAAGTCTTGGTTATTGAATGATTTATAACTTTCTTTCAGTCCTTATAACAATGAATATAATACGAGTGACCAATTAGAACCAACAATGACCAAAAGAGATCTACTTCATTATCATATCCCCTATTTATACTAATTGATTCATATTTTCATACTGAAATAGCAAAGGATAAGTATATACAACATTGATTTGCTTATGTGATAATGATGAGAACTCTGCAAAGAGCAAGCACTAATTTAGTTTTTCATTCGTTATTCCTTAAAGCAAGTGTTTCTTGTCTTTTTTCAGCGCTACTGATGGTAATACCAATGTCACAAGTAAAGGATACCGTTTTGAAATGCCTTCAATTACTTGACATTTGACATGACTGTTGACAACTAAGAGATACAGTCTTCTACAAGGGATTATAGCACCACCAACAAAGGCCAGACTGACATATCAAAAGCTTTATATTAAAGAAAGGTGTGGCAAAATGCTAATATTGGATTTTCAGACAATCCAAAAAAAAAAAGAGTATAACTACTTCTGTTCAAGAAAATAGATCAGGATTTTCTGATCATTAGAGCTACTTTGAATTAAGAGGCGCAAGTCAAGACTAGTATGACAGTATCAAAGATGTTGATAGTACGGTTATGAAGCAAGTTTATTGGGCTTAAGCCAGAAATGTCGATAACCAATAGATGATAAAACCTTTCAATCGCTCTCTTGTTCATGATTATTTTGACAAAACTCTTTCTTTTAGCATCATCTTGCTATCAATGGATTACACAATAGCAAAAAGAATTGGCTTTATATTATTAGTGTACACCTAAAAGCGACAATAGCACCTTACAGTTCAGCCAAACGACTGTCAAAATCTTAACAATTTTAAAGTTACTCTTTAAAAAGACTATCGGACTTTTGATTTAAAGCGAAAGGGTCTATGCATTTCTTCATCTATTTGACTTTGCATTCTATCTCTTAGCCTTTAGAACTCATATGGCTGCTTGACATGGATGAAATTCTGTATTTATGCATTCAACAAGCATACAAGAACAGCCTACCCCCCTTCATTTTTTGCTCGAGAAAGTCACAGTATAAATTGAACTTTTTTTCTAATTCAATTCAAGTTATATGTCTTCTCTTTCTTCATTCTCAGATTTCCAACCACGGACTCGAAACAGACGCCCCAACATGGCTATGATTGCTTTAAATCAACAATCGCGACATGCGATTTCACGTATGTTCAAACACAAGACATTTAAAGATGAAATACTTGCTTTTTATGCAAGGCAGTCTGAAGGACTTGCACCTATTCCAATCTATCTTCACAACACAGTTTATGCACAGCTTGTTGAACAACAACACTTGATTTATACTCAAATATGTGGCCATACCAGTTCATCCACCAAAACGTCAAGTATAGACTTGATTCATGATGACCCTATAGAAAAGATATTCTTTGAAGATATCTCTTTTGCTATTCCAGAACCTACGATAAAAAAGATTCCTTCATCACAAGAATATGAAGCATTACAGGCCTTGTTGACAAGTGATTCGTTTAGGCTATCTTTAGCTATGCAGGATCTTCGGTTACCTACAGCATGGGATATGCGAGCCAAAGGTGATCATATTGATATAAGTCAAAACTGTATGCAATTGACGTACAGAGGTATACCTAGACTCACAAGTAGACTGCAAATAACAATCTGTATTAGGAAATGGAAAAGATGATCCTGAAGTATCTTCTGCTAGAGCCAATTATGCAATGAGAAGACAATGTGGTGTTTATTATTTTGAAATACATATCTTGTCTAAAGGAACGGATGGTCATATTGGTATTGGGTTTTGTAGAAGAATCAATAGTCTAGATCGATTTCCAGGTAAAGTGTTCTTGAATATGTGTGTGTATATACAGTGAACTAGATTGTATGTATAGGCTGGGAAGAACATTCATGGGGATATCATGCTGAAAATGGCAATGTATTCTCTGGTCCTGGTACAGGCAAGGCATATGGGCCAAAATACAGCACAGGAGATATTATAGGATGTGGCATTGACTTCCGCGACATGTCTGCATTCTATACAAAGAATGGTATTTACTTGGGAACAGCATTTCAAAAGATTAAAGAAGTGGATCTTTATCCATTTGTTGGGTTCAAGACATCAGGCGAGAGAATAGAAGCTAATTTTGGTGCAAGACCCTTCAAGTTTGATATTCAACAGTACATGGCAAATGAAAAGCGAGCATTATTAAGTCGAATTGGACTAAAACCCTTTATTGTTGATCATAAACAGTCGCCTGTGGTTCATCATTCAGTTGCTACTGAATTAGCTGATAAAGTGGTAGTGGAATATTTAAAGCATCATGGATATACAAGATCCGCACAGGCATTAGAGAAAGCACTTGTATTAAAAGGCAATGCACCTAGTCAAGATTATTTAGATACAGAAACCATGCGTAGACAAGGTGTGTTAAACAGAAAAGACTATTCCTTTCTTTCTTTTTTTTAAAAAACTTACCTAAATAGATATACGTTATGCTATCTTACAAGGAGACATTGATAGAGCAGTTGAACTATGTAACCAATATTATCCAGATGTACTAGACAAGAACCCTATGGTCTTCTTTAGATTAAAATGCAGGAAATTCATGGAAATGGTAAAAACATCACAAGCACAGATATCGCAGTTAATGGACAATGATGAATACGAAGCACAAAGCCTACAAATATCACAGAATACATCCAGTAAAAGAGAAGCTGATCGAGAACTAGAGAACAAGAAGAAAAAGAAGCAAAAAATCACTCATTCTGATGCATTGACTGCAGTCATGGCTTATGGAAATCAGTTAAAGAAACAGTATGCTGAACAGGCAAAAACAGATGAATCCATACGCAATGAATTAATGGTAATAGTATGTCAGCATGAACTTGAATTCACCTTATACTATACATAGACTACATTCTCTACATTGGCTTATACAGACTTATCTGATTCAGCAGTTGCTTATCTGTATGAATCATCTCATATTGAACAAGCAGTGTCTGAACTGAATTCTGCCATTCTAGGTGAGTATAATAGGTGTACATTTCTTTTATTGAGTGTGATTAGTATCTCTTGGTAAATACCCAAGTTCATCTCTTGAACGTATTTATCGTCAAACAAGTACAGCTATTGAAGAATTAGTCATGACTGGTAATGCAAAAGCTGCTCTTTTACAACCAGAACGCGATTGCTTTACTTTAGAGTTGTAAATGTTGACTTTGATATATATATATATATATCCTTACTATAAAACGCGCTGGTTGAATCAAGTGCTTTTCTTTTCTTTTCTCATTATGCAAAAAGATATACCTCAGCTTACTTTACTTAAAATTGAAGAGCTCTTGGAGTGTGATGTTTGGTAAATAAAGACACAATCTTCTATTTCTCTAAACCAATCTAGTAACTCAATATTAACACATGCTCATGTCCTTGGTCATTGTGGTCATGTCTTTTGTTTGTATGTCAATAAAGTAGTGATGTTTATTAACAGCCCATTAGACACTGTTTGACATCTCAACTTGAAAAAGAAGCGCATTGTCCTACATGTCAACAACCAGCTACTTTGCAAGACATGAAACCAGATCCAAGATATGACAATCTTGTTGTCTATACCAACAAACTTAAGACTGAACTCTTGAGTCATACATTAACACCTCTTGAACTCTCTTTAGTGAAGCATCAAGGCAATGACTCAAGCATGGATGAAGCATTGCCTTCTCTTGGCGATAAAAGAGATCTAGAAGAAGAGGATGAACAAGATGAATTAGAAAGTGAATACAGTGATAAACTGTCCACTCGAAAGCGATTTAAATCCTCTTTTGAAGATCCATTGTTTTCCTCTGATCCGAGTGTACCTGGTGCTACCTTGGGATTCTCTTCTGCTGAACAAACACAACAACAACAGGAAGAAGAGGATCAAGTGCCTGTCAAAACAATAGCAGAAGTAAATGTAGTTGATGATGGCAGTGTAAGCTAAAATGCGTATATGTAACAAGTGATTGATGCATAGCTTGTAGCGTACTCAAGAAGGCAGTTGGCAATGCAGCAAATGCCAATACACAAATGCAGCTTATATTCAAACATGTGGCATATGTCATCAATTGAGAGCTCAAATAGACACATTCACAATTCCAGCCAAACCAACTCAGATAAGAACAGACTATAGCCAACATACAGCTGCTGCAGACCATATGGTTCATGCCACACCAGCACCAAGCAACAATACACGTCTCAAGACAGACCCACAGGTAGCTAAAGAAGCTCATATCTTATATACAGGATTATCGCCTGAAGATGATGTAAGTGTTTCTATTTTGTGCATTTCACTCATACCATTCTTCCGTTGATAGAAAATGCTAGAAAATATCAAGCGTGAAGCAGAATCATCAAGACTCAAGATATTCATTCACTATAAAATGAGAGAATTTGATGAAATTACACACATTATTACCAGTGTCAATAAAGACAGATTATGCAAAAGAACAATGAAATACCTTCAAGGCGTCTTGGCAGGCAAATGGATTGTTTATCCTAAATGTATGTTTATGTTATAGGAATGCAATCTCATTCATGCATATGTAGGGCTTATTGACAGCATCAAAGCAAATCAATGGCAGCTAGAAATGACTTATGAAGTACAAGGGGATCAACTTTCTGGCAAAACACTTGCACCTAGCAAAAGCAGACATCATAAGGCAAGTTTTCAAAAAAAAAAAAAAAAAAAAAGCTATGTTTAGCTTATGATGGCTCCTGATAGGAACCTTTATTTCAGAATCAAATATTTTATTTTTATGGTGAATTCACCGGCAAGCATAACAAGAATGATCTCTTGATTTTATGCAGAACAGGAGGTGCTAAAGTATTAAGCCGAAAACCAACAACTCAAGATGCCATTATTATTGTTCCTGAAGGCTATAAAAGGAAAAAGTCAAATGTATGGCTGGATCAATATACAGTGAAAGATCCAGTTTGGTTAATTCAATGCATAAGTACATTCAAAGCTAAATAAATAAAAAGTGTTCTTATTTAAAGAAGAACGATCAAGTTAAACTTTGGCAATCAATCAATAGAGGCAGTTGTTTTTATGGATATAAGCTTTTTTTTTAACTAAAAAGAAGATATTAGAAATGGAAAATGGCCTATGTTTTTATTTACGTCAATTTTTTTTTTTCTTGTCAGTGATATCACAACTTGCTTCCATATTTAGAATAGAGACAAGTCAATTATGACTAAAACAAAATAAAGAAGGTTTCTCCTCAAAGGAGAAAACGCTCAACAAAAAAAAGAGGATTATATATGTATATAAAGACAAAGAAGAAGAAAAAAGGGAGGAAAAGGGGGTATATCCATAAAAGAGAGAGAAAAAAAAGGCATATTTACTGTCTTTCATACAAAGCATAATATTTAAGTTATATATATATAAGGTTGATCCATCGGATAAAAGAAGAAGAAGAGGAGAAGAAGAAGGTGTAGAGGAAAGTTGTGTACAGATAGATAAGATTAAAGACCAGTGTTAAACGCATTCTCCGATATATTCAAAGGTTGAAAAGGCACAAATTGATTACTATTAGACTGTTGTTGATGTGACAATAGATCCACATGATGATTCGTGACAGGAGAACGCATTAATGCAACTGCTGCAGCAGCGGCAGCGGCTGTACTGGATGCAGCGGCAACAGCCACGGCAGCGGCTGAAGATCGACTTGTGTCACTCGATGAACAGGGTGTAATGCCCAATGCATTCGGATAATAACCTGCTGTATAGAATGGATATTCTGAATTTGTGTATCCTTGATAGAATAGAGGGGATTGAGGTTGAGCACTATTGTGATGAAGTGGGTGCATAGGACGTTGTATAAAGCTACCATCGTAGTCTAAAAAGTCTTCACGTTCATACATCGTATTGAAGAATGGTCTTTTAGGTGAGGAACAAGTAGAGAGTGCAACATAGTTGGGTGTTGCTTCATAACCACTGTCTGAAGAAGGAGGACCAGATGAAATGTCACTCTCTTCTTTGATAGAAGAAGGTGTACAGATAGTAGGAGCAGCCGAATCAAATGAATAAGCATGTCGAATATAACGAGAGCGTGGACTCTTGATAAGTGTTGTGGGACTATGTCCGCTGTTACGACGAGTAATACAGAATGGACAATGGCGTACAAAGCGAGCAACGAGTTCCTTTGGAATCCATGAAAATCTTCTTCTGACCTAAAAAAAAAAGTGTTAAAAACAAACAACATAATGGGGGGGGGGGTTTTTTTACCAATGCAGATGTCTTGTCTCTTCCCCCGTGATGGGCTTCTCGGTGTGCCTTGACTAGAATATCATAAATCTGTTCTTTCATAGCAACTGGCTTATTGTCATGACAAACAAGATCTGTTGTGCCAGGCTGAAGTTGAAACATTTTCTTGACCCAGAAACGAAATTGAGCAGTGGAAATGGCTGTATTGCGAGGATCTCTTAAGACCTGTTGAATCAGACAATAACGGTGTTGATCTACCAATGCCTTATCACGCTTTTTGGGACTTAATTTATTAAGATAGTCTTCGACAATGGCACGAAATTCGTCCATGGTAGGAATTTGATCTTCATCATCAAATGTTTCTTCAGGGGAGTATAAGACTGCTGTTGCTGTTGCTGTTGCTGTTGGTAAAATCGTGGAGTGTTTTCAAAGCGATAACCTGAATAAGGGTGATTATGATGATGATGATAGAGTGGAATGGTAGTATTCATAACTTGAGGAATGATTAGAAAAAAAAAAGAAAGGAAAGAAATACAAAAAAAAAAACTAAAGATATGTTGTGTTTTATAAAAGAAAAAAAAAGGCACAGCGTCAAGTGGGCTATTTTTTTTACGGTGAATATCAAGGAATGAATTGATCGGAACTCTTTGTTGTTGTTATTATTATTTTTATTATTATTTTCATTATTATTATTATCATTATTTTATGCAACCGCACGGGCCAAAAAAAATATATATAAAAGAATAAATTTTATAGGAGCGAATAAAGAAGAATAAAAATTAGATTTTCAGCCAGTTTGTTTTAAAGAAGTTTACATTTATCAAGTCGGCTAAAGGATTGCTTGTTTATATTTTTTTCTTTCTCTTTTTTTTCTCTCTCTCTCTCTCTTTCTTTGCCTTACTTAGTCTTTGTTTTCTATTTAAGCTCTTGTAACTTATTTCTATTGATTTCTCCTTTATGTTTTCTATTTTCCGGAAATCAGGTAAGCCGTTTCTTCGAACACCTGTTTTCAATTAAACCTTTTTTGGAAAACTTGTAATAGAAAAAGGGATCATTGATTCAACAATGATGCATCTCAAGGTGTTGTAGATTGTACAGTATTGTTTATTCTTAAAATATAACATTTGCTTGGGCTTTTTCATAACTATAAAGGAGTTTTATTTTTTTTTTTCTATACCTTATGAGTTCCAGACAATCGGTGCTATGATTTCAGGGGAAGAATCTTACTGCTTCAAGGATGCAGTGCACGGAGATGTTTAAGACTTTTTTTTGTCATTCCTTTATATGTAATGTATACGTTTCACATTGTTAGTATGACAAGAATGCTCTTTTTTTTTGTCATAGTAAATTCTTGCAGTAAACAATTGAGAAATGCAATAAACATACTATTGGATTTTTTTTTTCTTTTTCATTCTTTCGAATCGGTATAAAACATGGCAAAAAAAAATCTCTTACTGCTCACAAGGAGTTAAATGCAATTTTATTTTTAATGTACAATGACAAACACTAGTCTAAATCCATTTTTGTTCCTTCAAAATGATGTGGTTCTAGTTGAATCACTGTGTCTGTTTCTGATGTTGTCTCTTGAAAGTCTCGCCAATAGGAAGTCACTAAAAGAACCTAAAAAACACACACACACACACACACACACATAATTAGACCATTTGTATTACTCTATCTTTTCTTACTTTTTCTACTGCACGTAGATATTTAATATACATTTTATAATAACTTGTTGGATTGATGACAAGTTCACATAAACGTTGAATTGTAAAAGGACAACTAGAATAGAATAAGTGGTCATATACCTTTTGATAATAATAGGTTTACTCTGTATGTTCTTGAATGCAATGAATAATATGAACAGCGATCTCGTCAATTTTCTTTTTTATTTGTTCATCTTGTACTTTATCTTCCATCAGTCGAGATTGCTGTAATAACAGATCTTGTAAGATCTGCTTTAATTTGTCCCATTGGACATCACCCAATTGATTTGTTTTAGCTATATTTAAAAGCACATCATCTATTGAGAGAGAATCAAATATATTGCCAATCTCTACTAGATCAGGACGTTGAATGGATGGCACAGGATGATCTGTTGGTTCTGTCTCTGTGTCAGAGCCAGAGAAAATAGGATTGTTTTCACTTGACAATTCGTGTGCCATTAGAACGCGTTATTTAAAAAAAAAAGAAAAAAGAGAGGCGAAGAAAAAAAGGCGCGCTTTATAAACCATGTGATTAGAAGTATTTAGGCCTTTTTTCTCTCTTCTTGTTCTCAACATGTCTGAATCAACCTCACGCGTATTAGAAGCACTTTCTTCTTTGTATAGCTCAACAGATCGTCAAACAAATCGAGAAGCTAGTCGTTGGTTGGAATCCTTTCAGAAAAAGGTAAGCACAGTTAATATGATGCTTTCTCATACATTCATAGCCAGAAGCATGGGCAGTAGCAGACTATTTGCTCAAATCAAAAGACACCAATGTCGAAACACAATTATTTGCTGCACAAACCTTTAAACAAAAGGTACATGTGAAGAAGTCAAACTAAAGAAAAATAGCATGAGACTCATAGATGGTAGATTACTTATGACCTACGTGATCTCGATCTGAAAGCACGTTTCGAGTTACGTGATTCTTTAATAGATATGCTATGGCAATCTTCTACTGGCTCGAAGGCTGTAATGATCCAGCTATGTTTAGCTGTTGCCATCCTGGCTATTCAACTACTGGAATGGAAAACTGTCATTTCAGATCTTGTTGATAGATTCAATACTTCACCACAAGGTGTTGTTTGTCTATTGGAAATACTCAAGGTTCTACCTGAAGAAATGAACCAAAATGCAAAGCGACTACCCTTGACAGTATGTATTCTAATGCACGACAAGTTGGACTAATGGCGATATAGGACGCAGAATACAGAATTCGAGGAGAAGAGCTGGTTGACAACAATGCAAAACAAGTCTTGAATTTACTTGTTGCCTATATGCAATCGAGTGGAAATGACACTGATTTACAAGAGAGAATCTTCAAGTGCCTTTCCAGTTGGATTCGTACAGGTGAAATGGATATTGCCATGTTGAGTGCCACTCCATTACTGGAGTTGTCTTTTAAGGGATTAGAATCGCCTGAACTGTTTGATGTTGCTGTAGATGTGGTGTCTGAAATCATTTATGAGACTCGCGATGTGAATGAATGCCAGTCTATTATCCAGCAAATCTATCCTTGTTTTAATGTCATGCTTCTCAAGCTAACTGAAGCCATTCAAGAAGAAGACGATGAAAGTGTGCGTGGTTATTGTCGTATTTTCTGTGAAGCTGGTGAAGCCTATATTAATTTGATTAGTATGCACCCTCAAGCATTCAGCACCTTGTTGGAGGGTATTCTCAAATGTTCTGCCTATACTAATCTTGATATTGTGCCCATGACATTCAAATTTTGGTATGAACTTACAAATGCTTTGCAGACAGACACCTACAGTGCTTCCATACCATCTTTTGCACACTATTATGATGCTTTGGTGGATTTCATGATTGTTCATTTACGATACCCTGAAGATCTGGACTCTATGACAGCAGAAGAACGAGATGATTTCCGTGATTTTAGACACAAGATGGGAGACACGCTTAAAGATTGTTGCCGCATTTTGAGCCCACAAAGCTGTCTTGTAAAGCCCATGAATCTGTTAACAGCACTATTGACTGATCCTAATGCTACTTGGCAGCATATTGAGGCACCTATTTTCTCATTGCGTGTGATGGGGTCTGAAGTACCTAAGGATGAGAACCAAGTGATGCCTCATATCATGGAGTTCTTGTCTCGATTGCCTGACCATCCCAAAATTCGTTATGCTGCTACCTTGGTGATTTCAAGATATTCCTTCTGGACAGAAACTCATCCCCAGTTCATTACTTATCAGCTTAATTTCATTTCTTCTGGTTTCCAAAATGAAGAAGTAGCAGCTGCAAGTGCACTTGCTCTTAAACATCTCTGTAGAGATTGTAGTCAAGTAAGTCTAATGATGTGTGTTTATTTTCTTCTGATGATGACGACGACAATAGCATTTAGTGGACTATATCCCACAATTACATGCATTTTATTTGAATGTAGTAAAATCGCTTCCCTTCCGAGATATTCTGGAAGTAACTGAAGCTGTCTCTCATGTCATGACAGTCATTTCAGTAACTGAAATACAGAATGCATTGCAATTGTTCTGTCTACCTGTTGCTCAAGAATTGCATGGTTTAGTTTCTAAAGGAAAAGACGTATCGAATGATGAATGTATAAAGATTGGAGGTAAAAAAAAAAAAAAAAAAAAAAAAAAAAAAAAAAAAAGTCTTTTTTATTGTTATTATTATTATTAACATCATGAATAGATCTCCTTGAACAGATCAATGTCTTTTTTGATATAATTCGACCTGACATTCCAGTGGGTCAACCTCATCCTTGTGTCACGTTTATTAGTGAATTATGGCCGGTTTTAGATACCACTTTGGCTCATTTTGGTGATCGTGATACAGTCTCTGAACCCCTTTGTAAATGCTTCAATAGTTTTATTCTTTCTTACGGTCCTCACTTTATGCCCTTACTGCCTCAATTGATGGAGCGCATTGTGAATGCATTCAACTTGACTGGTCTTAGTGGTTATTTATGGGTCTCTCTTAAGCTTGTGCGTCAGTTTGGTAAAGAAGATGGTCAACGTCCTTGTTTTGAATTTGTTCAACAATTAAGTCAAATCATGTTTATCAAGTTACAATCACAACAAGTAAACGATATACCTGATGGTAAGCGACGATAAAAGAGAAAGATGAACTCATTCTTTATAGTGGTGGAAGAATACTTCCGTTTGGTTACTGCATTAGTTGATAATGCACCTATGTTGTTATTCAATGACCCCTTATTCTCTACTGTATTCCAAGCAGGTATTGCCTGTCTATCTGTCAATGAAATTCATGCATTAGAGGCCGTCTTGAAATTCTATTGTCGCTTGCTTGAGCTTACAGATAAATCACCTGCCATTCTAGGTCTCTATCGAGAACTTGGTGCTAATTTAACCTCCATTTTATTTACTGGTCTTTGCGATTTCTATAGTCAAGATGCAATCCCTGATATAGCTAGTTTATTCCGGTCTTTAGCTGAGGCTTTGCCTTCAGAATCAGCACAATGGATTATGGCAGCAATCAACAATGTCCCTGAAGACTACTTGTCTGCAGAAAGCAAATCAGAATTCATGTCAAACTGGACAAGGTAAAATAAGAACTATAAAAAGGCCGTTTTATAAGTATATTAATTTATCAATTTAGTGCAATTACTGGTCAACATTGGGCTAAAATAAGAAGAATTTTATCGGACTTTGTGGCCAGTTTTCGTAGAAGAAATGTCAGCAAAGATCGACGCTGAATAAAATTTTTTTTCTTTTACTTTTTCTTTCTTTTGTATATATATATATATATATATCAAGGAACAAGATCATGTATCCGAAAAAGTATACAATACTTGTTGCCCTAATTCTTTTATTGCTTTCAGGCATATTTGTTCAGTATTTGATACTATCACCTAATAGACACACAAAGAAATATACATTCCAAACTTATAATAATCAGATACCAACTCGTATAAAGAACATTGACTTGACACCACCCCTTTCTTCTTTATTATCTTCACCTCCACTTCCATCCAAGACAGTGATACCTGAAGCATGTCAAGGAGTAGATTTTAAATGGCTGTGAGTACTATATATATATATATATATATATATCTTTATATCCATCATTAAAACCTGTATGTGTGTATAGTGCTTCTGATAGAAAGTATTGGGATGGTTGGTCCTCTAAAGCCATGTTTATGAAAAAGAATGGTAAATTTACTCGAAAACCCGTTCAAATGAACCAAGGTGAATCTGTTTGTGTTGCAGTCTTGGTAAGCTATTTTTGTCTCCCTGATAACTTTGTTTAATATATGATACAGTTGGGACCTGTTCCAGCCTTGTCGATTATTAAAGCCATGTCACACTATGGACCTGCAGATTCAATTATGATGACAGCTGTTGATACAAAGGGTACAAGAGTCCCTATTGTATTAAAGCAACACGAAAAACAGACCAACAGTTATTTTGCTTCTGTCCAGTTTTCGTTTTCGGGCACTTGGCGCCTGGAAACTTCAGTAGAATACCGTTCTTATTTCTGGGAATATCCTAATTTCCATAAATATCTGCCTAATCGATTTCAATCAGAAAACAGTTTGATTGTCCGCCCAAAACAACAGCCGGTACATACTTGCGACTTGTTGAATGGTTCTTTGATGAACAGTGCCTGGAAAAAGAGTGGCAAGAAATATGACTTTATGCCCCCTTGCAAATTATTAGACAACGAATGCTCCAGCAAATACAAAACGATTCATATGTGGGGTGATAGGCATTTAAAGAGGTATGTTTTTGAAACAAAACAAAGGGGGTTTACTGACACGAAATAGAAACACATTAAGCATGCTAAATCGTATTCCTGCCAATAGCAATATCTGTGGCCAAGATGAAGAACAACAACTTAAATCCCCGCTTACATTACCTAATCAATCGCAGCAAATTTATTTCGACCAGTTAAACAAAACTGTGGTAGAAATGCTGGGTGCATGGAAAATGCATATTCAAAACAAGAAACGTCAATTACCAAAAGCAGATCTAGTCCTGATTGGCATTGGCAATGAAGATTTGGGAAGTATTCGCCAAGACCCAACTGAATTTGCCGTTTATTTCCACTCATTCTTGACTTTTTTAAAAGAAAAAGTGTACTCTAAACAAACCATGATCATCAAGACAACACAAGCTATTTCTGGAAAGTTAAGCCACGGTTACAACTATGGTCGTAGTGAGGCATATGCTAACATCATAAGAACAAGTGTCTTATCTTTCAATGATAGCAAGGTCATATTATGGGATACATACCAACTCGGTCTAGAGGAAAACCAATGTTCAGATATAACAAGCAATAGTCAGGTTGTTCGCCTCGAGAATAGAATGCTTTCCCACATCCTTTGTCAATTAGAATAAACACTTCTGTCACGTGATTATGTTACGCACAGGAGAAAACACCCTTTCCTTTTTTTTCTTTTTGTCCTTTTTTTTTTTTTCTTTGTTGATGCCTAATTCGCATGATACGCTTCTTTTTTATTATTAACAAATCTTGTCAGACACGGTTTTCCAGATATTATCAAAACTTGGTTCATGACCGACCTAGTTTTGAGTTGCAAGTAGCAAGGCAATGTATAACGCGAAAACCAAACCAAGTAAGTGTTTGTTTGCTTTGGAGGAGCATGACTTGTTTACAAAGAATAAAAAAAATCAGACTCTATTCTTTTTTATGGAAGGATATAAAATAGGTAAAACACCAGTTACAGTTTCCCTGACTTAAAAAAAGTTTATCGAGTTTATGCCTCATTGTATTTTATTATTGGTTGTGATTCTGAAGACGTACGTATGTGTGTATCATTATAATTTAGAATTTTTTTTCTTACATCTCCAATCAGAATGAATTTTCTTTACTTGAATTAATTCAGTTTTGTGTTGGCAAGTAAACCTTATTCTCCTTCTTGTTTTAACCTTTATCTTGATAGAATGTTTAGATAGACACTTTGATAAAGTGGTAAGATATTTATTACGCAATAACAACGACAACTCAATGCCAATCATAGACGGAGCTTGATTTCCTTTTTAACCTCGAAAAAGTGCACATGATCATGGAAGAGATCATTGTGAAAGGCCTCATTATAGAAACCAATCATAAAAGAGTACTTAACTATTTGGAAAGCAAACCCAGTTAGTGAAGCAGATTGGATTAAGAAGAAAAAAATTTTTTATGTCCCCGCCTATCTTTCTTGCAAGACGCTGCTTGTGTTATCTTGCACAAAAAACTTATTTGATATAAAATCAGTTTTGATTTTTTTAAAAAAAATCTTGCTCTTGTTTCCTTCTATTTTTTCTCGTCTTCTTTTTTTCTTTTGCCTTCCTTTCCTTGAAAAATGATTGAAAAACCTTCGATAGAGACACACCAAACTACTACTTCTAGTAGCGAGTTTCATTACGAGTCTCAGAAAGTAGAAGAATTTGAAAAAAATAGTGCCGCATCTTACCACTCTCATAATATCGATGATGTTGAAGAAAACAATATTCAATCCGGTACTCATCGTGGTTTGGATGCTAGACACATTCAAATGATTTCCTTGGGTGGTGCTATCGGGTAAAATAAACAAATTGCTCCCTTGCCGCTTGCTAAACTATCTTTTGCTGTTTATAGTACAGGTCTCTTTTTGAACTCTGGTAGTAATGTCGCCGATGTAAGCATTTCATGTCAAAAAAAATTTTTTTATTAAATCAATCGTCTGTCATAGGCTGGACCTGCTGGTGCTCTCATTGCTTATTGTATTGGTAAACGCTTTTTATTTTATATTTTATCAATACTCATCTTCTTTATTTAGTTGGCTTCATGGTACGACATAAAACAAAAAGAAGAAAAACGAGATCATTTTATTCATTTTCAAATATAGGTCTATTGTATCATGACTTGTCTTGGTGAAATGGCCACTTTTATGCCTGGTAAAAAAAAAAAGACATTCTATCATAATTGTTATTGACATGTTATTTAGTTTCTGGTTCTTTCAATCACTATGCTACACGATTTATTGAACCCTCACTTGGTTTTGCCTTAGGTTGGAACTATTGGTAAACAAATACATTTTTTATTAATTAATTCAATACTAACATATTTCTATTTAGGTTCTCTGTAAGTCCATTGAGACATTTTGAATTATGTATTAATGTTTTTTTTCTCAATTGTTTCACTTTGAATAGTGGGCTGTAACCATCGCCACAGGTATTTTAGTACAAACCAAATATTATAACAAGATATTTACACCATTTTTTTGTAGAACTCGCTGCTGCTGCTACTATTATTAAATACTGGCGTGAGGTTATGCCTGATGCTGCCTGGTCTACTATCTTTTTGGTTTTGATTGTCTTGATCAATTACTTGAGTGTCAGAATCTATGGTGAATTAGAATATTGGTTTGCACTCATCAAGATTCTTATTGTCATTGTCTTCCTTATTATTGCTATTCTTGTCACAGCTGGCGCTGTTGGTGCTGGCACCATTGGCTTTGAATACTGGAAGAACCCTGGTGCTTTCAACAATGGAGCATTGGGCACCATTAGTGTTCTCTTGTCCGCTGGTTTCTCTTTCCAGGGTACCGAAGTTGGTAAGTTTCTACTTTCTCACGAATAACACAATTGCTCACACACTTCCATAAAAATAGTTGGTATCACTGCTGGTGAAGCCAAGAACCCTACCAAGACTGTGCCTCGCGCTATCCGTAACACTTTCTGGCGTATCATTTTCTTCTACATCCTTACCATTTTCTTCATTGGTATGTGCGTTCCTTATGACAACGTCGATTTGCTCAACGAAGGTGGTGGACCTGGTACTGCTTCTTTCACTTTGGTCTTCAAGTTGGCTGGTATTGAGGCTGGCGCTGATGTCATTAACGCAATTGTTCTTACTAGGTAAACAGAGATTACTTGTTTTGATAACACATACTAAATTAATTACATATATACATAGTGTCTTGTCTGCCTGTAACTCTTCTTTGTACACTACTTCCCGTACTCTTTTGGGTCTTGCTCGCGATGGCAATGCTCCTGCTTTCCTTGGTAAAGTCAATCGATTTGGTGCTCCTTTCTGGTAAGCATGAAACTATTATTCTCGCAATTTCTCACATCACATCATCTATTTTAGGGCTGTCACTGTCTCATCTACCGTCGGTTTCGCCTGTGTCTTTGTTTCTATCTATAGGTAAGAATGAGATATGCCAATGCTTGACGGATGTCTAATCTTATTTCTAGTGCTGAACAAGCCTTTACTTGGTTCTTGAGTATTACTGCTGTCAGTGGTTTTATCAGTTGGGCTGGTATTGCTGGCGTCCACATTCGTTTCCGTCGTGCTTATGTCCGTCAAGGTAGAAGTATTTCTGATCTTCCTTACAAGGCTATGGGTTATCCTTACAGTGGTCTTTTTGCCTGTATTCTCTGTATCTTGATTATTCTCGGTCAAGGATACGGTGCCTTCTATCCTCAATGGGATACCGTCACTTTCTTTACTTCTTACATTGGTATCGTACCATTCTTTGTGTGCTACATTGTTCACAAGGTTATTACAAAAGGAAAAGTTATTCCTTTAGAAGAAGTTGGTAAGTCAATTTTTCCTTTTAGTCGATTTGTGCTCACTTTAATTTCTTTATTAGATTTCGAAACAGGTCGTGTTACTCGGTTTGATATTGAGAAGGATAACGAAGTTGAAGAACAAGTTCCTCGTTGGAGGCTTATGCTTGCTTGGATCGTCTAAGCTAAACCATTGTTCTTTTGATAAAAATTACTTAACTGATCGACTTAATACCCAAAGAATTGTAACACCTCTTTTTTCTCTATTTTTCTATATTTTTAATACGATATGATTTTACAATAAATACTTAATATGAGTCGGATATCCGCGCATCAGCACATGATGTTGTATTATGCTAGGGGACCAAAATTACACAATGTTTGTTCAAAAAAGAAATAGAGTACATGCTACAAAGATTTCACAAGATAAGTATGACAAACCAATACTATCATTCCTATATACACAAAAGTATTAAGGAATCATTCTGTGCCTCAAGAAAAAAAAACTCTGTGTTTAAACTGTTATCTTGATCAAAACCCCGTTCTTATCTGTACATACTCCGTTACAGTTTTTACACTTTGAATACAGACAATGTTGGCTTTTTTTTTTGGACACATTAACATTTAGATGATCAAATTACCTATTTTGGATGAAATCAATCAATTTTTAGACAATAAGCACTGATGTTTGGATGTATATCTGTAGTTATCTAAATGTCTCTCGGACAAACTGTATACGTTACAATGATACAAGTCTTCTAATTGTCGTTGCTATTGTTTTTTTTTAAAGTGCACGCCAAAGTTTTCCTGTCACTCTACAGTAATTGCCTTTCAGCTTCACCATATCTTTACCGAGCATACCATCACTAAAAACAACCAATGGTATTTTCTCTTTTGGTATAAGGTAATTGTTTGCACTTATTTGTCCCATTAAAATGGTTCATTTTTGTTGTACTTGGGACATCTTTCACCTTTTTCTTCTTTTTTTTCTTTTTTTTCTTTTTTTTCTTTTTTCTCTTCTTCTTTTTGCTCGATTATATTTTGAACTATCATTAATCAAAATGTTCACTATCTTCTCCGCTGCCTGTTGTCGACCTCGGTACATAAAGAACTTATCTTTTGCAGTAGAGCTATTATACAATTCGAAGAATGAATGTATGTGACTCAGGATGTACCCAACATAAGGTGTATATGCTGTAGAGGAATTGGTTTTGTATGACGGTATATGGCTTTCAATCAACTCTAGTCCATTGGCTTTTTTGAGTTTGCGCTGTTATGTTTGGTATGGCGTCGACCGTGTATGATAACAATCCTTCGTTGTACATGTCAAAACGCTATGAGCATTAGAACTTAGTCCGTCTGTCGTTGTAAACACAAACTTTCGGCCTGGATCAACAAAAATTGGCTTATAATGTCTTTGGACTACATTGAAATCAAAATCTTGTAAGGTGAGTTGTAGACCGGAAGTTTACTGGATGTTCGAGCTGTTTGTGAGCATTATTGTTCTGAAGACAGTGTTGCAGACTTTTTTTGCAGCGACAATTATCTTGTTCTTAAGCAAGTCTCTGTATTCACTTTTTATAACCGTATCAAAGGGGAATTTTATTATGAAAGCCTTGTACGGAAACCCAAGATTTTGTGTAAACACATCCGCCTTTCGACTTCATCCAAAATAGGTAGGTTAATCATCTAAAAGTTGATTTGTCCAAAAAAAATTAATATCGTCTGTATTCAAAGTGTACTTTGTTATCTCTCTTCTTTTTTTTAGATATCAGAATTCCCTTGAAATCAAGAGAATAGTACCTTTGTCTCTCTCTTTTTTATTTGTAAATGACAATTTTCAATAGAAATCAGGATTTTTTTTATTTATTTATTGAATAGGGGTATGCAAGAAAAAAAAACGATCTTTAAACATTGTTGTGCTACATTTATGCATTAGTAGCAACAAAAAATTATCATTACTTTCTCTTTCTTTAGTTAATCTATGTATCAATAAAGTCATTTCGACAATGGCGCACATACTTCTAGAAGGACAAAGAAAAAAAAAACTGGATTTTCAATTATGATGCGCACAGACATTTTGTATAAGGTTTGACCTATTCATGCTTGTGCAATGGTGCCTAAAAAAACATCAAGACAAATCAACAAGAACCCTGCGTACAAGTCTACTCGATAAACAAATAGGTTGTTATTTATTATTAATTTGTCAAGAAATCAAGTTTAGTTTTCATCTTCAACAACTTCGGTTTGAAGACCTATATATATATAAATTTAAGTATGGTGCCATGGCTTTGATTCTTTTACTTACCCTTGAAGTCAGCAATGGGAACGTAGGTAACGTAAGAGTACAACTTTTCCTTAGCATCTTCGTCGTCGTTACGCTTACGGGCGATACGGACACGGATACGGTGGTTGTTGTGCTTGACACCACGAGACCAGATAGCCTTGTTCAAAGAAGGATCAAGACGGACGTCCTTGGTACCCATAGCCTTTTCGGCAAAAGCCTTGACAGCCTTGATAGCGTGGGGAGAACGCTTTCTCAAAGAGCGACCAAAGACGTGCTTGTGCAAGTGAATGGTGTATTCACGGGTAACGACATCAGCGAGGGTGGAACGCTTTTGGGTGGTCTTTTGGTCCTTGGCCATCTATTGAAAACATTAATAACTGTGGATGGATGGATGGATCAGGGGGATCGTACTTTAATGGGTGGATAAGCAAAAAGGAGGATCCTTGATGGGCCTTGTGCTTGAGGTTGTTTTAATGCTGCATACTCGGACTTATCGGGCACAATCCGAGTCGGATTGTTACACAAATTCATGAATCAAGCAAGATGCACATACAACAAACAGGAATTACAATGGAGGAGTGATGGAATAATGAAATAGTGTTTATACCAATGAATTATATAAAGAATTGTCATTGTTTCAAACACGAGGCTTTTTCTTATTCAAGAAAGAAAATACTCCTTGCTTTGTTTTGTAAGGAGATGACTGTAATTTGATTGACATAGATCAGAACGTGTAGATGTGTACATTCTTCAAGGGGATCTAAATAAATAAATAAAAAGAGGGAGAAAATTGTGTTTTTTATAGTTGACACTTTTGTTAACCAATCAAACACACTAAACCTCGTTTGGATGATTACTGCTAATATTAATATATACAAATGTAAGTAAGGAGTTTCTTATAAGCTCCTATTTACTACTTTTACTTTTACAGTCCCCTTTCTGAATTTATATTTATAACACCCCTTTAGAAGAAAGATCACAAGGGAGATTTGCTATTAAGCTTTTGTCTTGCTCCCCCCTTTTTTTTATATAATATTGTTGATCAACCTGTATAAAAAATAAAAAAAAATAAACTTGTTATTTTATTTTATTTTATTTTTTTTACTCTTTCTTTTTTGTTTGCTTTACGAGAATGAACAATCAAATCATGTCAAATTTTGAACAGCCAAACACACCTCTTATGAATGAAAAACTACCAGGCATTGATAAACTACCAAAACTGGATGAAGATTTGGTTGAGATTAAACCTGAACAGCAACAACAGCAACAGCAACAACAAATGTTACCTTCATCTGCTTATTTACCTCCTCCTCCACAAACCTTTAACTTCAATCCCAACATGATGTACAATCAACACATGTCACCTCCACTTACGCCAGCCGTTTCTCCTTCATCTGTTTTGCTCGACTCAACGCAATTTAAGCGAAAGTTTTCTGTTGATATTGGTCCTTTTGGATTCGGGAGCAACATTCCGCACCCGTCCTCAGTACATGATCAAGATGTCTATAGACGTAGCTCATGTTCAGCTGTTTCTATGGATAGCATGAATCAGCCTGAGCCTCATTCAGCTACCCCTTCTCCTCCTCCTCCTACTTCCTCTTCTTCTGTTGCAAATGGTTATTCTGTCGCTGTTACTGCTGCTGCTGCTGCTGCTGCTGCTGCTGCTGCTCGATGTCAATCTGATTACTCCTTTTTAAATACATCCATGCAACATCACTCATTTGGAAACCATCTTTCTAATAACGCAACTACGACAACATCAACTGCAGTCACTGTCCCTTCACCTAAAAATCGACGTGGATCTCGTGCTCAGCATTCGGGTCCCAACACTCAGCATAAGCATGCTTGCAAGTATCCTTACTGCTCTTGGAGTTTCAAGCGATATGAGCATCTTAAGCGTCACATGCTTGTTCACACTGGTAAAAGACCCCATGTTTGTCATTTTCCTGGTTGTGGAAAGAGCTTCAGTCGCTCCGATAACTTCCATGCTCATTACCGTACTCATACTAAGAAGACCAGTTTGGCTCAAAATCAAAAGTCTGTTGTCAATAATGATCAAGCAGGAACTTCTCATGACACTTCTTCCTCTTCCAATGTTGCCGCTGCTACTGTAGCCGCTACAGCAGCCGCTGTTTCTTCCTCTTCTATGTCTAATACAAATGTCATGACCCCTCAACATCAAGTGTTTCAAGAAAGAACTTACTTTAAACAAGCACCTGCTTTCCATATGAGTTTTAATCAAGACATGTATAATCATCGTTATCCTTCAGAGGTAAAGTTTTTTTTTATTCAAATTGAAATCATAAACTAATCATGATAATAATAGGAGCCTTATCAACAACATTATATGCGTAACTTTCATCAACAAAATCTATTTTCGACTCCTAACCCAAATGATAATTTTCAATCCACTATGACTACTCCTACTTCATCTCCCGATGGCTCTTCCTCTTTGCTTAACCATGAGCAACAAACACATCCATCATTTTATCATCACCCTACGACCTCAAGTCCTATACATTCTCCTCCAAGCGATCAACGATTTAACTATATGCTAAACAATACCAATTCCTATGGCTACCAAGATTATGCTGAAGACAGTAATCAATCTATTGCTGCTGCTGCTGCCGTTGTTGCTGCTGCTGCTTCATCTTCACCAACAACTACAATTACAACAAAGAGTGGTCGTAAATCATCTTCTGCATCTTCTAGCCAACAAAAGTCGCACATTTGTCCTATTACACAATGTCAACGTCGATTTAAACGCTTAGAACACCTCAAACGTCATATGCGAATCCATACCCTTGAAAGACCTTTTGGTTGTTCTTTTCCCAACTGCCACAAGACTTTTTCTCGATCTGATAACTTGTCTCAACACATGAAAACACATCAACGAGTTGAAGATCGTCGTAGAAAGCAACAACAACAGCAGCAACAACAACCCGTTACAACAACATCACCGCCTAACCAACATTTATCTTCTGTGAGTTACAATCAGCCCCAATCTCAATCATCAAACAATGCTCTTATGATGAACATGTCATGGCATAGTACAGGCACTGTGGGCTGCTAAGCAAGTTTTTTTTTTTTTTTTTTACCTTTTAATTCATATTTCATCCTATTGTTCAGCATCCATTTTATACATATACAATCTCTTTTTTTTATGCATTCGTTGTTCTCATCTTTTTTTTCTTCTTTTTATCTATGATCACAAAACCAACAAAAAAAACTTTATGTCATTTCTTTTTCTTTTTAAATCAAAATCATAATTCTCGTATGGTTTTTTTCTTATTTTAAAATAAACACTGAAATTTAGAAGAAAACTTATTTTATATTGGGGGGTATTTATATATAAAAAACTCTAAAATGTATTATAATGGTTTGTTCCTTCTTCTTGTGTCACTAATAAAGATTCTACCTCTTGCTCATCTAAAAAAAAAAAAATAAAGTTTAATAAATGAACAAACAAACAATGACTGGCACTTACTTGATGTAGGAATAACAAGACAGCGAATGCCTAAAAAGTCACAAAAAGCACGAATGACACGAATGGCTCTAACCATAAAACCAATAAATGTTATCACGCATACGACCAAAAGTACAGGGTATTCAGGTAAGAAGTGGTGACTAACATATTTCAATATAAACCTTATATAGACACACACACACACACACACACACACACACACACACACACACACACACACACACACACACACACACACACACACACACACACTTACATATTAAAATAACCTTGAGTATTGACTAAAAGGGCCATAAAGATAAGCGAGAGATAGATGTTAAAGAAACGAGGGTATTCTGATTTTGTTAAATGGGCAAGAATGATATCAGAAGCCATTTCACCAAACAAAAGACCAACATAGACTGCAAACAAAATAAAATGCTGCTCAGAAAAGATGACAGATGCAGGTGAAGCCAACCATTGGAAAACAATAAGGGCTGTGAAAAGCAAAGGGAAAAAGACTTGGTTTAATACACTCAATTTCTTGAGTCCTTTTTCTTGACATGCTTGAGTAATGGAATATACACTATAGTCATACATGAGCCCATGTTCCTTTTTTTTTTTTATATACCCTGATCCTTACCAAACAGGAAGATGTGTCACAAGAAAAA